TTTCAATGCTTCTCCAAGAGAACCCTTGGCTGGCTGGGATGCTCGTGAAAGGCTAGTTCAAAAGCACCACCTCAGAAATCTTTTGCATCAGATTTCAGATCGGACATCTTTTTGGCTTCATGTTCAAGCAATCCGATGTCTTGCGCCATGAACTTCATAGCTTCCCAACAAATAGCAAAATCAACCAGCGGTTCACATCACTTCAACTGTGGCTCAAAACCCTGGTACCCTAAGTCATAGCTGGTGGTTATTCCCCCATGGTAATTTCATAGGTAAGTTTCGACTCATCAATTCCCATTCGCCTCAAATGCGCCGTCCACCAGGCGGATCTCCAATACCTCACCGTCCACCCGGCGGTATATCTGGGTAAATTATAATAATTCACTCACCTGAATTAAGATGAATTGTTGGGCCATTTGGGGATGATTTCCCGCCTTATTAACCATGATTTCCAGTGAGGGCGAACAGTGAGGTCGTTATAATTTACACACATATATATATATATATATTAGCAATTAGTCCTGATTCAAAAAAAATGGGTTTTAACTTATCTGGTATCTGATTCGATATGTTGTATGGTACATTTACCGACATTTGGCAAGTTCCAAAGGATTTCAAAGGTAGATATTCGTAAATCTACCACAGGATTGGTGACGTTACCTTGTTTTATTAGCTCAGAAAAATGTGAGTCATCGTCTTTGGGGATCATCATCCCACATTTTTCAAAACCACATTTTTCGGACATCCACAGGTTTCCAAAGGGACAAGTCCCGTACGAATTGATCTGGTGAACACGTGGAACCCTGGTTTTTTGCATTCAAATCGCTACCACGTGGGTCAAGTCCTGGTGCCAGGTGTGTTCCAGGGATCCCAGTGATCCCAATTCCGGTCGAAAGGCGTGGCTTCATGGAGGATTCTCTCCTGGAAGTCGGCGGAGATCATCATTGGACATAGCTGCTGCAGGGAAAAACCTAAATCTTGGTTTTGGGGGAAAACACAACTGATTATTATTGTGAACAATATGATTTATTCTAGTGATTGGTGAATTCAGGAAAGATCAGAAACACAACTGATTCAGACATAACAATGAAGCTTCAAATTTACAGACGTGGTGATTCAAGCAACAATACAAACATAAGGAACAAAAAGCACTGATAATGAAACTCAAACAAATATGGGTGGCTAGGTCACGGCGATTGAATCAACCAAAGGTCAAGAGGAATGATGCTTCCAATGGATGAGGCAGGTGCTGGGCACAGCTTCTCCCGTGTCCTGTTTCTGAAGCTTGTCGCCTCGCGGCCCACGAGTAGGACACGTGAACAGCAGGGCTTTGCGGACTCGTTTCATAGTGCTCTGTGTGGCCAATCTGGCAGCTAAGCAATTGCTGATTACTTCATGCGGATCTCAGCTAGTAAGTTGGGAACTGTACAATGCCTGTGTAGAACTGTGGATAGATAGATAGATAGACAGATAGATAGATAGACAAATAGATAGATAGATAGACAGACAAATAGATAGATAGACAGACAGATAGATAGATAGGCAACCAGATAGATAGATAGATAGATAGATAGATAGATAGACAGATAGATAGACAGATAGATAGATAGATAGACAGACAGATAGATAGACAAACAGATAGATAGATAGATAGATAGATAGACAGATAGATAGACAAACAGATAGATAGATAGATAGATAGATAGATAGATAGAAAGCTAAATAGATAGATAGACAGATAGATAGACAGATAGATAGATAGACAGACAGATAGATAGACAGATAGATAGATAGACAGACAGATAGATAGATAGACAGATAGATAGACAGACAGACAGACTGACAGACAAACAGATATTACAAACACCAGGGAGTAGCTGGGATTCCAGGCCATAGGTCTAGATATGGGTCTGTCTGAAAATAGACTACACCTAAATCCATTGTCCTTCTTCCAATTGCCATTTCCGGGGAATCAATTTTCAGAATCACCATCTATCAGACTCTTGGTTAATGTCCATTGTATTCAAATCAAATCCCTATTGTTCTTGCTTTATACCTGCATGTTTCATTATTCATGGGTTCTCTAAAGTATCAACTTGCCCAAAGGGACTTGAATCAACTCAGTTCTCAACTCAGTTCCGGGCTGGCGTGCGCGTCTGGATGGGGAGGATGGAATGAGCACAAGTCCTGTTCGTCGTTCATCAAGATGTTGCTAACTTTCAACACGAGATGAGTGAAACGAACGTATGACCTTCATGTGGACAGGAATGCAACATCTTAATAGATATAACTATATAACTGTAGTGAAATATCAACACATAATATAAATCATAGATATAAATCATTAGATATAAATCATAGATATATCAACACATAATAGATATAACTAAAAAACTGTAGTGCAAAACACATTAGTCAACAATACACACAAATCATGAAAAACATCAACGTAACGCCAACAAGAGGGATATAACCCAAAGAGGCTTGCAAACTGCGGATTGATGCAGATTGATTTGCGGTCTGGACGTGGTGTGGCCCCTACTGCATGACATCACTTGCGACGCGTCACACATCACAAACGTCACAACTTCATGCACATACACCCAGTAACGATATCTCATGTTATGTTCCATATTTTTTCAATATTAGAACAGATTGAAACTATCCCCAACAAGAAACAAGATCAACACGGGATTCACATGAAACTCCCGTCTAATAAGGGGGGTCCCCAATCCCCAGGCAATTCCACTGATCCATGGAGCATCTAATAGCACATGGGGACGATCTACCACGGCTTCAGATTTCCATTTTTTTCATAGCTAATTAAATTTCCATATCCTGCAACCACATTTTGACAAAGATGAGTTGCTTAGTAATTATATCATATCATATCTCTCAAATCACCTATAGCAACACCCAAAAAGATAGAAAAATAAATTCTACTAAAACAGTAATAAACTGAACCTCTTCCATCATCTACCATCTGTTTTGATGCTTACAATCTGGGTAAATTATAATAGTTCACCAACCTGAAACTTGCGGCCATTTGGGGACAGTTATCCTCTTACTAACCACTATTCCAGGTTTCGGTCACAGTGAGGTCGTTATAATTGTTATAATTTCTTCCAAATACTATAGATATTTGGCAGTGTGTCAAAACCTTGTACCCCTTTTGTTCACATCAAAATAGCTGGTAAATGGATGTTCATCCCCTAAAAATGGTATTAATAGGGATTGATCCATACCCATTTGTAGACCATGTCCTCATTAAAAGCTCCATGTTTCTCGTGCCCAGTCCCGCCTGGCGAGGAGAAGACGAAGCGACCGAGCGCCGTCCGATGCGCATCATCTGCAGCAAGTCGCCGGCGGCCTAAGCGGCGATGTTTCTGATGGGGAAAAAGGCGGTCAGTGTCTGATGGGAAAAGCTGGAAAAACATCATATCTAACGGGAAAGTAATGGAAAGTATAGGAAATCTTAATGACATATTCATGGGATATTGGTTAACATTGGGATGATAATAGGAATTAGGGGGAATTTATACACCCAAAATATGTGATATGATATGGTTACCCTCCGGCGTCATCAAACATAGCAATTGGAAATCCACACAAACTAGCCATGCAGGTTTCGTTCGCTGGGAGAATCATCGAACTGAATGGTTGAACCTCCAGCCAGCCACGTTTGCCAAAGATAATCAAACAATAGGATGATATTATCCGTAGTAGATAGTGATTATCATTAGTTATCAAGATAGCATCAGGATAAAAACTAGGATTAGCATCCTAGTTAGTGATTGGGATGATCATCAGGATAATAACTATAGGATGATAATCAGGATGACAATGAGGATGCTTATTTTGGGGAAAATACATCATGCAAAACTCAACACGAGCACCTTGGAGCGCCTGAATATTAGGTTGCAACTTGTGGAAACCCCAGCATTAGCGTTAGGTAAATTAACGTTGATTGACGTAGAAAATTAGCGTTATTAACTTTTTATGAACGTTATTAGCGTTTATATTAACGTATATTAGCGGTATTGACGTTCATTAGCGTTTAGATATTAAAATATCTTTCTGAAAAACTGTATCTATTCTAAAATGAGTTTGTCCAGAACTCTGCTCTCGGCTCGCTGTTGAAAAAAAAACAAAGATGATTCTCCATGCATTGTGCGTCACTGCCATGAGACAGCAGCAGAATATATACCCAATAACAAACATATCATGAATCAACATCACAATATAACTTACCCTCTGGTAATTTAACATAGCTATTGAACATTGCCATTTATAGTTGATTTACCCACTGAAAATGGTGATTTTCCATACTTATGTTAACTATATATATCAGGATACATTACTCATTGTTTGTTTTATCATTACCCCTTGCAACAACTTGAAGAGCATATGGGAAGGGTTCTATCGTGTTGGATGGGATGTTATTTGTATAGTCGGCCGACACTGTATTCCATAGTACAGAAATGGAAAGGTGTTCGTCATGTAGTATTGTAGTCATACACCCAACCAAATAAAACGCACGTGTCTGGTTGGTGGCTTTAAACCCTTCCAAAATAATAGTCAATTTGGATCATTATCCCGTTTCTGTAGTTGAACAACAACAACAAATGAATCCACCACCATAATATGGGGGATGGACCAAAACCATCCAAAACCCACTAATTATATACTATCTTTGGGGGGATGAATGTCAACGTACCAGCCATTTTGGTCACCATTTTGGTAGGGTACCATGGTTTTGACCCATAGCCATATGATATTTATCGGCCACTCTCTCTGTGCCCAGGGCCTGATATCAGTCATCTGTTTTTCATTGCTAACCTTAAGTAGACAAAAAAAAACATGGAATTGATTGCTTCAGTAAAATATATCACATTAATGTCTCCATTGATGGCATCACAGAATCCGCGTGACCCCTGCCATCCAACGAGTTCTACCCACTCGAGAGCAGCAAGGCCAACGAGATCTTTTTTTCTCTCCTGCTATTCCGCGTCGCGGAGGTACAGCCACACCTTGCAGGTGGTCCACTGCGATCATCCTAGGAGGAAAACTACATCCCCTGCGCACCGAAGCTCCTTGACTTTACATACACAAGCATGTCCAAATCTTGCTGAATTCAGTTGACATGTTACTGTAACTGTAACTGTAGATGCTCATACAGATTGTTGTTTTTTTGAACCAAACCGGAACATGTGATCCAAATATCATCTACCACCCCAAATCATGATAGAAAAGAATCAGTCCACTGGCTTTCGGTTCTCGTGATCTTGCCACCCGGGTGCAGGCTGTTTGAAGCTCCTGGTGCGAGGACACGTTCTGCTGAGTTGGGAGTTCACAAGAAGACTTGGCTGAAGTCTTTGGGATTCGGAGTTGATGATGAGAATTCTCAATATGTGTATGTATATATTTATGCTGGATCGGATAGTGACGTGCGTGTGTATGTGTATATGTTAATGTATATCACATATATATATATATATTAATAAGGTTGACCTTATATATAATTATGTATATATATATACACACATACATACAAATATATATATATAACCCCTACAATCATCAGCCCATCAACCAAAATTGTAGCATGGGGCGCCATGGTCATCAGGTCGCTCAAGATGCAATGAGGTGCTCACCATTCGAATGCTGGTTTTGTGAATGCTTTGGGGATTTGGGGTATACCCCAGTTCCGAGAATACTGCTTATTCATGGTTTCAATGCCTATGTTTGATGCTTCACTCAACATAAAATGGCTGGTCAGATCCCAATATGTTCTGGTGAATTCCACATGCTCGAGTGTTTGGCCCCGTGATTTCATCAAGGGAACCCACCAACATCCACCAACTAAATCCAAATATTCACATACTTGTCGAGTTTCCCTACTATAATTCACTAAACATCCTAGTGAAAAACGCTTCGCTCCAGCTGGTGGGCAGCTCTGCAGTCTTGGTCGGCAGCTCGCCGGGCAAGGGCTTCAGGGTCAGCAACGCCTTTTGGGGCCAAATGGCCCAAAAAAAGACGACCGGGATGTCCTCAGGATGTTTCCAGCATTTCAGATGTCCTCAGGAAATCCTGAATAGTTGAATTGTTCACATATGATTCACATATGATTCACATATGATAAACATGCATATGATAAAAGTGCTGGTTTTATCATGGAAAAATGGGGAAAACATGTTGTTTGACTCGCCAAGCCCGAACATCATGGCTTTTGGGCCATGCTGGGCCCGGTTGGATTTGAATCACTCGTTCCTGTTCACTTTAGATTGAAGTGTAGTTCCTGTTCCTGTTTTTTTTCCATCACTTATGGAGTTCCTGGATTCCCTAAGAGATTGAACACAACTTCTCAAATATGGATCCAGTGCAAACCAAGAAAAACGAGCTGTGTTTATCACCCATTTTTATTTCATCTTCAACCATAGAATTCTAGTGTATAGCCGTATAGCTATATAGCCAAGCAGCAATATGGGAGTGGGTCGAAACCGTGGTTGCATGTTACATGGAAATGCTTGGTGAAGGGATGTATTTTGCCCAACAAAAATAGGTTTTGTATGGTTTTTGTCCCATATCAACAAGAAACCTCACCAAATTACCAGGCCAAAATATTAAGCTATGGGATTACTCCCCAGTCCCCTGACTGTCTATATCTTTTTACACGATGACACCCTGGTGGGAACTCCTGTTTTTAAACACTGACCCAACTGGGGCACCTGACCCGAATTCGCGGTAAAACTCGCAGGGCGCTGGCGCTGAACTCCTCAAGCTCATCAGGGAAATCATCAAAATGCGTGGTGGATCCCTTCAAGTGACGATTTTCAGCTGGGTAGTTACAGTATCATCAGATATCATCAGTATCTTCCCCATGTTTCTGTGAATTGATTGAAATTGTCAGCTTAAAATCGTCCAGAAATTGAATGACTAAGTCAACAACCGACGATCCAATGTCCTCTGAGAACAACCTCAGCTTTTCAGCTGGGCCATGGTTAAGCCCCAAGACCCTGGTGTCACCCAGAGGGTGTGCTAGGGGAGACCCCAATGAATTTCAGCTACTTCAAGGGGAAAACTGAACACCCATGGGATTTGGGGTCGCCTATTTTGGAATGAACCATGATAAAAATCCTCTGCTGGAATATGAAGCCTGATGTTTCTTCTTTTTGGTCACCATGGATCAATACTCTGATGCAGTCTTGAGTTCAAAAGAAAATGCTGGCAATCAAACATGTCAAGGAAAAATGCATTATTTATGATCATTCATAGATTATTTTCCCAGCTAGAAACATGCTAACTGAGTTCGGGGATTTCCCAGCGGCCCGCCGTGTTTGACTACTGAAGGGTGGCTCTCATGGACCCCTGAAAATCTCATCCCCTTCCTCTAGTGAGTTCCCTCAAATTGTTTCAAAGAACAACATGTAGATCAAATACACTCCACAAGGGGCTTTTGGTTGGGATTATCATCTTACTTCATACTGTAGGGGTGGGATTATGATGGCTCCCAACCCCCAAATGACTTAAACAACAAACGGGCGGTGACCTGCACCGAGTGACTTGTTGGCGAAGAGGACCACACTGGCATGCCTGGACCGGAGCCAAGAACCACCTTTTTGGGGTTGTTTAATACCACCAAATGGTAACATGTGATAATTTTGGGACGGCTTATGATGCAGGATATTTATGGATATGTTTTGTTTACCCCTCCAGTCATCAAGGATGGTCATGGTACAGTCACCATTTCTAGTGGGGAAAAAAGGTACAGCAATCAACATTGTTGTAAATAAGGACAAAGAGTAGGTGAATATAGCATGGGCCAACACTGTGGATGACGATCTTCAAAATCTAGAAACATCGTTGGGTATGGCGGGTATGGGTCAGCGCCCTTTTTTCGGTGGGGAAGTGGGTCTTGAATGGCTTTGATCTGAGTTTTTTTTCTGTTGGGGAAAATATGGTAAATCATCAAAACTCAACAACAAATGGGCCATTTATGAATGGGAAATTCATACAGTATGATAAAAAAATGGTAAACATCAACAAATGGATATACCCTCTGGTTATTTAACATAGCCATGGAAAATGGCCCATTTATAGATGATTTTCCCATTGAAACCCCCATTTATAAGGGATTTTCCATGGCCTATGTTAAATAACCAGATGGTAAATGGGCCATGTTCATGCATTTTCCATAGCTCTCCAAAAATCAGTCCCGACAACTCGCGAGATCCACCGAAGTCCAGCCGTGGCACTTTCCGAACGGGTGCATCTCTTGTAGATCGCCCTGCACCAACTCCACCTTGGCCCAGGTGCCGAAGCCCCTTGAAATCTGAAGAAAGTCGGGAGAAATCCTGAGAAATGCCACAAATGGGGTTTTAACATGTTTTAACCCACCATAAAAACTATAGTCATGTTCACAATATCCTCATATCAGATTTGGGTAAATTATAACATTTCACCAACCTGAAACTAGCGACCATTTGAGGATTCCCCTTACTGACCATGATTCCCCATGATTCCAGGGTTCGGTCACACAGTGAGGTCACTAGAATTTACCAGATCCGATAAAATCTTCCCAGGTTCAATGGCCATCTCAGGATGCTAAATTGGAGGTACCTACCATATAGAAGGCGTATTTTTCAGGCCTAAATTTCAGGGAATATCCCCAGAAAGTATAGCCTGAAATATGGTACTAACGTACCTCCATTTTAGGATCCTGAAATTCCCATGAACAGGTGTTCCATCATTTTTCTGGTTGGTGGTTTCAACCCCTCTGAAAAATATGAGTTCGTCAGTTGGGATGATGACATTCCCAATATATGGAAAAAATAAACATGATCCAAACCACCAACCAGCTATTTATGTTACCATGGTTTTCCCAGATCATTCCACCTATAAACGATCTATTGCTTTTGGTGAGATCTTCATCCCCCGAACGGCCTCTTCTCGCAAGAACGGCTGAGCCAAAGTCCGAAGGATCTCGGCATGCTGATGTCGTGTAGGCGACAGCTCCTGGGGGCCCGGGGGCCGCTGAACAACGATATAGGTATGCTGGTTTCAAATATTTATCCAACTATGGATAACTATGGTTAATAATGGTTAGTACATGTTAATAATGGTTGAGAAATGATGATTATATGGGTTAATCATGGTTAATAACGGTTCGTATAATGGTATATTATATTTATATATATAAATAAATACATATGTGATTAAGGGCTATTGCTGGTTACATGGGGGATCCCCAGTGGTCACGAGGGGATTCATGACTTGGATTTTGTTTAATGTGGGCAATCCAATGTCATAAACTATAGACCTACCATGACTGGGGATGGTTTACACCACCATGTATGGTGATTTTGGGGATGGTTGTTAAAATGGCTTTACCACATGAAGAAAATTAATAATTAGTTGGTTTTCGAATAGGTGGGTTAATACTTAGCAACTGACGAATTCGAACTAACATGTGTATAATAATTAGCTGGAAATCATGTATACACACTATGTATATATATATAATTATATATATATGTATGATGGCTGGGAATGATAGTTGTAGCTGCTAACGACGTTGGATTTATGCTTCATCATTTCATCTGTAATTGGGGTTTTCTAGGCTGGCGGCACTTGATATATGGTGGAGATCAAAGCATATTTAATTTGTTCTGTTCTGGAGCAAGAAATAAACTTGTTCGTGAGGCTGATGTTGAAAGGCCAATCGTGTGGGTAAAACGATTTCATAAACTATCCCCCAGGCATCACCATAAATATATAGGTGGTATGTTTGCCATTCCCAGTCATGCAGGTGGTTAATGGCATTGTTTTGCCCACATCAGTGACATTAGATATAATGCCCCCCAAAAAATGGATAATAGGCTATGGGTGGTTATAACCATATATTTGTTACAACCATATTATATTATATATATACTATCCATTTGCTGGATCCATACTATAATGGTTTAACCATCCTATACTTTATCATATCCATATATACTATGGATAGTTCTTATGGGTTTTCGGTGACTGGACCCAGTCATCATACTGTCTGCCAAGCATCCACGCCCACTGCCGGCAGGCCCGTACGGAGCGCTAAATAGATCCTAACGTTGGACCGGTGACGGTGGCAGCTAAGGACATACGTGCATATATATATATATATACATATATATATATGTATATATATATATATATATGTGTATATATATATATATGTATGTATATATATATATATATGTATGTATATATGTATATATGTATATATTAATATACATGTATGTATATATTTATGAACGTATATATTCATGTATGTATATTGATTTCATCCTCCAATGCAGCCACTGCAATCTGTATTGCTATGTATTACTTGTATATTGTATATTCGTGTATATATGACTGTATGTGCACTCTCACATTTGCTTCCATTGCCCCGGTTTGCCACCCAACATGTTCAGCAAAGAAATCAGCAACTTTTGTCAAGCTCGGAATATCAAGCTTGCAGGTCGCACATGAACTCAAGTGTTGAAAATTGTACAGGAAGGGCCCCCCTAGTTGGCTTTCCAGGCCAACTTATACGTGGGAGGCCTGAAGAACAGAATAAGTGGTCCGAAACCTCTGCATTCAAGTACCCAACCGCTGGAAATTGCGGAGGTCCCAAATTAGGGAATGTTTGGGTTTTCTGCGTCCAGGTTCCGTTGAAAATGTTGAAGTACTGAGGCTGGAAACCACCCCTGACATCGGGATTGCAATCAACTTCTCAGTTTCTTTAGGATGGATCTTTCGTGTGAACCAAACAAGTGATGTTTTCTATTTAATACCCTCCATTACCCTCCTCAAAGATCTTGCAATGGCAGCAATCGTAACGTCCCGTCCTAAATTTAAATTAGGTGCTTCCAAGGCCTCCCAAATGCTGCAACTTCTGCTGGCTCACTTGACTGAGTTTCCTGATCCATGGTCTCTGTCACCGCCTCCTTGGGTGTCGCTTCCGGTGCCGATCCGGGTCGTGTTGCATTGTCGGGTCCAGAAGCGTCGTTGAGCAGGTTCAAGGGACAAGGATCCGATCGTCCGCATTGAGATCGAAGCTTCTGGTAGATCTCGGCTTGATTGAAGCCCATCTTTCATCTCCTTCTCTTTATTCTCCATTGATGTGCTGCTCATCATGCTGGGGATCTAGGGGGAACGTCTTGAGCCAGCTAGCAAACACACAAGGAAATGTGGCAAGCTGCAGGCTATCAAGGGCTCAGTGAAGGATCGATATCCAAGTCAGTCCCATCTTGTGTGTAACATGTCTTTGACCAGCAATGAAATATGCTGAAATTATCCCTTCCGGTACAAACAAATACCTGCACCATCAAGACCCGGATTCAGTCTTGGATCCCAAACATAGTTATATCACATGTAATCAATTGGGATCATCGAAGGTAAGATGAAGCCACAAAGTTGGAACCACCAACCACTCATATCCGTGATATCCCAACAACTTGATCATGAAAATCCCTGAAAATCCCTGAGATGTCCAGCATTTCTTGTCTCACCACCTCCATCTTTGAAGATTCTGGAAACAGGGGCAGGAACCTCCACCAAGGGACAAGGCTCTGCCGCTGCCGCTGCCCAAATCACAAAGAACGTCCTGAAGGCCATGGTCACTGAGAGGAGTTGCGCTGGGGAACGATGTGAATGGTCAGCTGGGCTGAAAAAAACACCAAACTGACAAGTGGTCATGTGTTGAAACTACCCTAGATTAATTAGGAAGAATGCGGCATTGCCCAAATGAAGCGCCCCGAAAGCAATTTCCAAACCTGCTTCAAAACGCGTCCAAAAGATTGGCGAATCCAAAATGTTCAACGTTCGTTTAACATCTCAAAGTCGACCCTTGGCGCGTCTCAGTCTTGAAACCACACCCAAATCAAACCCATCTCTTGTACCTTGGAATCCAGTCATCCCTAAAGGTCTCTGGGGTGGGAATCCTAAATCTATCTGGATCTGAGTGGTCATCCATTCAGTCGCTGATTTCTTAAAGAAAATCACCGCGGCTACTGTCACGCGCACAATATATATATATATATATGTATATATATATACAATATGATTATATATATATATATAATGATTGTAAATAATTGATGATCATATCAGTGGGATATGAAATCGTCCACAATCTAGCTGCATCTATGAATATGACTGCAAAGAAATATGCCCCTAAATCTCAAACTACCATTTACCACGGTATTGGAATTTCACCTCAGATACTCACCCGATATCTTGGAAATTTATATTAGCCTCTGGAGAATCTGAAAATCCACCATTGAGTTCGATGATTTTTCCATTAAAAGCCGGCCATATTTATAAGGGGATCTCTGAAAAACCTATCCACTGGCTTCGTGAGGCCAGCAAGGTCGAAGTTAGAGCCTATCAACGATGGTTAAACCACCTTCATATCCCCATGAATAGGGCCATGTATATAGAACATTTTAGAACCCCCTCATAATTCATGGTCAAACCCATGATTCACTGTGAACCAACCACGATTTTGGTGGACTTTCAGGGGCCTCTGGCTGGACTTCGGTCTGGGCCAGGAACCACTCCAGCAAATCAAAACTCAGCTCCCCATAGGTGGCATCACCACCGAGAGCCTGGAGACTCAATGGATTTAGGGAAAAAACCTATGAAAGGAAGGTAGAGTTTTACTTCAATAAATGTTCTTGGAATATTGGTTGGTGGTTGAGCCACCCATCTGACAAATATGAGTTTGTCAGTTGGATGGAATATGTTCATGGCTTGAAAAATTGGGATTCTTGGGGAAAAAAGGCAGTAGAGACTTGCCAGGGGCGATCTGCCGAGTAGCGAGTGTTCCTAGCCCCTCTTTGATAATAGCATGGGTCAAACACCCTGTTACACTGTTTAAAATGGTTTGCAAATGGGGCAAAACTGCAGGGAAACACATGTTCACATGTGCATCTATTGTATTCAAGCATATTCCTCAGCTATCATCCCCCCATGTTCCTAATATATGTCCATGACATATTGGTTAGATGTTCACTGGCCATCTCAGGAACCTAAATTGGAGGTACCTACCATATATAAGGCATATTTGTCAGGCCTAAATTTCAGGGAGTATCCCCAAAAAATATGGCCTGAAATATGGTACTAACGTACCTCCATTTTAGGATCCTGAAATTCCCATTAATGAGATGTGGTTAGATCCCATTCTTCAATCCCAGATCTCCCGTCACGCGGAACCTCCACGAAGTGTTCTTCATCTTCTCTGAGATCATAGAGATGAATGTCACCATACTCCTGACATGCGGAGGTACAAGGTATGAACTTAGTACTAACCTAGATGTAACTGCGAAACCTAGAAAAACAAAGTAATAATATAGGTATTAACTGCAAAAGAATAACAAAGATCTAGGTATTTCTTCTGCAAACAAATAATAAACCTAGATCTTGCTGACCCAAGTCATGTCCCAATAAACTTCCAGAAAGTCTTCATTTGGATTTTGCTTGAAACATGTTGGCACTCCCAGATTTCATGGGAATAACCAACCACTTTCCAGTTACTCTCTGGTACTCAAACATGGCTAGCCGGGAATTCCATCATAAATGTAGTTTTATAGCTCCAAAAATCATCGAACGAAACGGGGGATAAACTTAAAATTGCAATGTTTGATCTACCGGAGGATCTTCCCAATGATTCCATGAAATTATATCTATCTGGTTGGTGGTTTCAACCCCTCTGAAAAATAAGAGTTCGTCAGTTGGGATGATGACATTCCCAATATATGGAAAAACCAGCTATTAGTCAGTTGTAATGTTCCAAACCACTAACCAGCTATTTATTTTCCCATGGTTTTCCCACATCATTCCACCTATAAACCACCAGCTTCGCGCACCTCGTCCAGCATCATGCGATCGAAGAGTTCGACCACGCGCCGCGCCTAGCGCATTTAGCTGATCGCCGAGCTGCCAAAAGGGAAATCATCCCCCCTTTAGTGGCAAAAACATGGCAAAACCAGAAATCACTGATTCATAAACTATGGTTTATTATGTTTATTAATTAGGGGGATACTTCCCCAATAGTTCTAATCTGATACTTAAATGATACCCCAATTCAACAGCCGTTTGGGGTTTATTAAACCGGGGTTGACATCATAGAAATCACTGATTTTCTATTACGATGGACTTGTTCATCTTGGATTGGTGGTTAACACATCCGATTTCCACCAGTCGACAAGCCAAATTTGGAACCAAAATGGGATCCAACCTGTAGCAGTTTGCACTAAAAGGACAAACTACTGTCCCCGAAACCATTGTTTGTTTCAATGTTTTTGAGATCTCTTTCTCTTGGAAACTCGTTTTCTTGACATTCCTTTTTCTGCTATTTTCAGGCGGGTCAATTATTACAATTCAGCTAGATATGTACATATATACTGATATACTGTAATAGGATTACCGTGTGGCAATCAAACATGGTTTGCTACAATGTCCCATTTATGTCGATGTCGGCCGCAGCTTCTGACATTTTGGCCGATAATTGTTAAGTATTGGACAGAATCTCTCTGGGCATCATGTTTCCTTTTTTCCCCGAAGATGTTCTAAACACATGTAATCCAGGGCTATACTAGGAATTCCCAGTGCTGAGGTTGCACTCACTTTGATATCTTGCAGATGTAGAAAACAAACGGCATGACTCAACAGTAGGAACATGACACTGCAACAAAAGGGATCGCTTCTGCACTGCAACTAACCAGAAGGATGGTACATGTATATACTTATATATATATATAAGTTTATGTACATATATATATATATATGTATTTATGTGTGTATGAATATGTGTATGTATGATTATGTATGTATATAACTGTATATATATATATATATATGTATAATATGTCTAAATGGTAATGCATGATCATGTGCATATGGAACAACAAGATATAGAACACAGAAAACAAACGGCACAGTGCTCCAATGGCACGACCGGAGCAGGAGGAGCTGTGAAAATCACTGGGGGATGCCATGGAGTGTTGCCATGGTGTACCCTCTGGTAATGACTAACAAAAAGCTATGGAAAGATCCACCATTTTCTAGCTGGGAAAATCCACTATTTCGACTGGGCCATTTTCAATAGCTACGTAACAAATTACCAGAGGGTATGTTAGATACCCAGGGAAGGTAAACGCAAAAACATACAGTATCCCTGTTGATGGCAAATGATTAAAGCCCACAAAAAACGCGATCCCCATGGTACAACCAACACAGAGTCCACAACTAGACCCCGTGACCGCCTCCGCTGCTGACAAGGGCCGTCTGGGCTCACATTGGGCTGTCACACCTGCAAGTAGTGCCGCACATTTTATAGGGATCTATGTACCAAGTATTAAATTTATGGATGTGTCATGATATGTCACCCAACAGTGTAACACCTTGGAACACCCCGGTTGCAGAACTGAAGAGACATTCTATAGATGACGTTGATTCTCAGAGTCCACCGCACTACGATCCCAGAGAAGATACATGAACATCCATAACATCCAGCTAGGCCGCTTTGGGGAAACGACGGAGCTGAGACTCAGGTGAAATCGGCGAAATTGTCGAACATCCTCCGAAGAAAAAATCCTGTTCTAGTTGGTGGTTTATGCCCATGATACCCATACTATAACTCTCACTTTTTTGTTAGTTACCCTCTGGTAAACATACAAAAAGCTATGGAAAATCACTATTTCATAGGTAAATCAACTATAAATGGGCCATTTCCATAGCAAGTCCTGTTAGTTTACCAAAGGCTAAACACCCAAAAAAACTGGTGGTTGAACCGAATCAGTCGTGGCATGTCGTGGCCTGCTCCCGCCGCAAAAGTCGCAAGGCCCAAGTTGGCCAAGTTCGCGACGCGCCGTGCCACCATGGCAAATCTATGGCCGAAAGACATGGAGAATATGGGTATGAGTCAAAACCTTGGTACCCTAGTGAACCCCAAATAACTGGTAAATGGATGTTCATCCTCCCAAATATAGCAAGATTGGTTTTGATACATCCCCATATCAGAATACCTATGTCTACGACCATCAAATGGGAGGTATTTTTCGCCAATCATAAATCAACCATAGAGAGAGTTTGCCAAAAATAGGGACTGAATTTTGAAGCAGTACTAGCAGTACCAATGAACTTTCACATGACTGTATCTTTAAAGAACATGCGGAATCGTCCTAAATTCATTGTTAAAAGTAAGGCCGTATATCTATGGCCCTTTGAGTAGCCATAGATTGTAGATGTATGCGCAAGCTAAATTGGTATATATGATAGAAGTAGATCTATGCTATCTTAGGATATTTAGAGCATTTAGACATTTAGACAGGTAATTTCACACTTGTATGGTCATGTTAGCGGGGGTGAATATTTATTTCAGAATGATGATTTGACAGATCTAGATGGTCAAAGTCAAAGGTATATAACCAACTACGTTTGGTTTACTATTTACAAAAAAACATCTATCTGTACTTTTTATGCAAGACACACCGCAGTCCGCCACATAAGGATGGTAGATTTATGCTTGTAATCATAATTGCAGTCTTCAATCGTTCACGGTTAAAATTGGTCAAATCAGATTGTAGATACATTGTCTATCAATATCATATAAATCTGTTAGAATATATATATATATATTACTATATTTAACAGGCCATATTTAGTTCCCTTCCCATCGTCCTTGATCATGCTTCGGATAGCCATCCCGATTCACTGGGGAAGCGCTTGGCGCTACTGATGGGTCTAGGTCCACCTGTGTTCCTTGAGATCATGGCCTTAGTTTCTGTACGTTTTTGTTGAAACACATCAAGACTGTAAGCGGCGTTGTGGCTGACATTCCAATGGACACAAGTATGCATGGATATCATGCATACCATGGCGACCCTCCCGTTTTTTTGCCAAAATGCTGCGGCATACAAATAACCCATTGCAGCAAGAACGGCCCACGGGTCTTGATAAGGTCCTTTGTGATGGCAAGCATACCATCTTTGGATATCTTTGGGCTACTCCGCTTTGACCCCTCAAAAAAGCAAGCCATACAGTTATGGCCATTCATTAGTTATAACATGTTATAACTTGTTATTTCTATGGGATACCTTCTATAAATGGGGTTGTAATGGTGATTATTGGTGATGAATAATGCATAAATTAATGGTTCATAGTGGCTATCACTGGTATGGGCTCCCAGGCTACGTAGCCCGTGAGCTGCTGGTCAATGCAGGTCCAAAAGGAGTGCAGCACGGTGTCGTCCAAGTAATCCTACGCTTGCCAGTTGCTGGGATGATTTATTGTAGGGAATTGATACAGGTTTATTAGGAATTTATAGAGGTTATATGAATTGATAGTGTTTTTCAGGGATTCATTAGGGATTTATAGAGATTAATTATATGAAATTATTATTTTAGGGATTTATTAGGAATTTATAGTATATAGAGGTCATATTAATTGATAGTGGTTTTCAGGGATTCATTAGGGATTTATAGAAATTAATTATACGTATGAATTTAAAGATTCTTTTAGGGATTATTAGGAATTTATAGAGGTTATATAAACTGATAGTGTTTTTCAGGGATTCATTTGGGATTTACAGAGATTAATTATATGAATTTAATTATGAATTTGTAGAGGCTATCAGGAATTCATTGGGGATGATGCCACCATTTTGGTCATCCATGATTCATGACCAGGGAATGCAGTTAGGCCATGGCAACTATGGAAAGCATGGCGGCTGCCCCACTGCAGTTCATCCTGGACCTTGTTAAAATAGTTTTTTCCTTGCGGCTGATGTAAATAAGATGATCCCCAAATGTGGCAGTCATGTGGGTCAAGAGCTAATTAATCCAAATCTTGGGTACAACATGGTACAACCCCCGCAACTTAACTTATCCCATCTTATCATATTATCCCTACTTAATCCTAACCAATCCTCTACCTTGCCCCTAAAAACCTATAAATGAACCCTGATTCAGATAACTCCCTTGAAGCATCTCTCCTCATCGAAGCCTAACAGGCGTCGCACCAACAACTGCCACTCCTTGGGATTTCCAGGAGTGTGCGGGACTACTGTTACAACTTGAGGTTTAAGCAGGAGGGAAATCCCCAAGTTGTTGCTTAAATTTGAAAAGGTTCATTTTGGGGCCTGTCAGAAGGGGTGCTAAGCAGCTAAACCGACACGATAGTGCTTGATGGACCTGATATTTGACCTGGATATTCATGTAATCATTTGCCGGATTTAAGATACAAGACTATGAGGAAATGCTCCAAGAATAAAAATTGATTCAACTGCGAATTCAACCAACACAGTTTGGCAAATAAGGAACAACAAAGCAACCAGCAGAACCTTTGCACTACCTTGCCATAGTTGCCATAGGGGAGTCGTGGGATTGCGAATCAAGCAATTTTCTCCTGAATCTGGACGTCTTATCGATAAAAAAAGGTATGTTACACACGTTAGCAGCAGCCTTAGTAGCCGCAGCAGCCGTAGCATAGATTCGGGAGGTCATAGTTTTGGTGACCTGAAAAGTCCTCTGCGGAGCCAATACCTACGGTTGAGTCAAGGCTAGCGGCTAGGACTTCATAAGAGTGACCCAGTTTGGCACGTTACTATTACTTTTACCATCTGATACCCCATCATCACTTCAAGTGCGGAAATCCAATCAGAAGAACTAAAGAACGAACACCACAAATCCGTGAACAAGGCCAAAAATCATACCAGTGGTTCATAACCCTATCATACAAAAATCCCATGGTTCCGCTTACGAACAAATAGTGGTGACAGACCGGACGTCTTCGGTCGCGTCACCCACTCAGACACCACTCCAATCCATGGTAGACCTGGCAAATGTTGGACAACGCCTGGTAGGGATTCAGAAATAGACGGTTCCTGGTCGCAAGTTTTGAGGCTTCGGTCGCATCACGCGATATTTCTTGGGATTCAATCAACAAATATGGGGATCATTCAATGGGAATTTCAGGATCCTAGAATGGAGGTACTGTACCATATAAGGCCATATTTTGTGTGGATATTCCCTTACATAGGCCTTACATAGACCTTATATATGGTAGGTACCTCCAATTTAGGTTCCTAAAATGGCCATTGAATCATGGTCTCTGAATTGTGATATGCGACCAGCTACCCTCCTGTATGTTGGCTTAAGAGGAGAACTAAATGGGCTTTGGGGTGAAGATAAATTCTGAAACATAGCAGTAACATTGCAGCAATTTTTGCCCGCACTGGGATTCTGAAGTAGGGCCTTCCAAGAGGAAAGCTGTGGCGACGGCACGGGTCAAAATCCCAGTTTTGTTCCTTTTTTTTTAACCAAAATCGGTGGTGTATAGATGGATGTTCCATTTCCCCACACCCCACAGCAAACAAGCCGGTTCCTCCCCAGCCGTCATATGCAAACATGAGCTGTTCCACCTTCAGCAGTCTGGTGAATTGGATATCCCCAAAACCATGGGTTTCAATACTAAAATAAACTAATTCTGGATGATTCGGGGTACCCCAATTTCAGGAAACCTCCAGTTGAATAATATATATATAGGTTTTATAGGTTTCAACAAAGGATTGTCATGGATGTTCTACAATTCCCATGATTCCTATCATCAAAAAAAAATGTCTGGAAAGCCAGGCACTAGATCTGACCAGCTGAAGCAAGGTGAGGTTTTCTAGAGCTGGTACAATTCATGGGGGGAACAAGTTGACGAACTTATAGCCGGAGGGAGCACCTTGTATTGTTTTCCATAATGTTTTATCATGTTTATTCACATATGGAGAAAATACAGTATAGTTTTTTTGAATGTATAAGTATAATTATATATATAGTTTTTTCTAACCCAAGAGTTGGAAGAACTCTAACAGTTGCATTAGGAATAGTGTTTTATTCAATCCCAAATACCCTCTGGTAACAGAACTATGGAAAGATCCACCATTTTTCATGGGAAAATCCACTATTTCTATGGCCATGTTCAATAGCTATGTAACAAATTACCAGAGGGCAACAAAGGTTTGAGAGGCGCTTCTCCATGTAGGGACCGCTGGGACCCCGGGCGGAGTAGTGCGACAAACGATCCTGTTTCTATTTGGGGCGAAATGGTGCGAGACATCGCGATGAATGGGATTTTTCCATGGGATTTAAGCAACACTCATGGTGATTTATATGGGATGTATATATGGGATTTAACCTTGGAAGACACGGAATTCACCAGAATATAAGATCTATAGGTGACATTTACATACATATTTATACATATTTATGATATGCATAACATGGAACATGGAGGGGTAAAGCAACACTTTACCGCGAATCCGAACAATCTGGGTATCCGAGATCCCGAACAATCTGATGTTTGGGTCTGTCTGAAAATGGTCTAACTCCCCCCCCAAATGGCGTGGTGAAATCTCCCATGTTTGCTGAAAAACCTCGGGGATACCGCCATAAAATTGTGGTCAAAGGACATGACTGACCTTTTCAAGCATCGAATTTTGCGAATATTCCCACCAGAATCAGACCAAACCCCACATTTCATGACACAAATCCATGTATATATAATATAATATAATTTATACTTAAATAGATATATGATATGTATATATATATATAATTGTTTCAGAATTATTCCATCTTGACCCAAACATTGCCATCTTTTTGGGTAAGGCTCCCTCGCTAGATCCTCATGGCTCCATCGTAGCCCTGGGGCTGCGGGCCATGATGCTCTGAGCCGCTTCCTCTTCGGCTTCAAAGGCGAAGTGCGAGAGCCGAGCACCCGCCTGGCTGCTGAAACATATATGGGATTGATATAGGAATATATGGGACTTAAAAAAAAAACTAAGGGGATTACCTAAGTATATAATATGGTTACGGAAATTGGGTGCCAATAAGATATTTTATGAGGGTATGGATAGTATCACATATGATAATATGTATATACGTATATAATATAGTATCATATAATCAGCAATCTGATATGTGTGTGTGTGTGTGTTCTCAAAATGGGGGATTTGGCCACCAAAATGGCAATTTGTTTGTGGAAGATGTTGATGAATCAATGGTGTGTCAGTGGGATGGGAAACTGCTAACTAGGTGTAACGAGGTGTATGGCTACAATCTCTATGGACAGGACTCGCGATAAACTTAAATGGGGATCAAGTACCAAAGCAACTAATGAGATGATGAAGTCAAACTTGTGAGCCAGTGAATGTGTTTCTTAGGGTATGTTAATATGGCAAGTCATAGGGATTAATGGGCATGCTCCCCGTCAATGAACCATTTTGGTGATTTTGATGAATCGTTCATCTCCATTGCTGAAACCAGTTACCATAACGCCATAACCTCTTGATAATTATCATCTTCATATTCGATGGGTTGTCAATGGCACATAAACTTGACAAGCTTTGGTCGCAAGGAGGTTTTCGCTGCAGGATACCTCATGGATCTTAGTCATCTTAGTGACTTAGTGACAGGAGAAATAAGTGGTTTCCTAAAACAAAATGCCTCGCACTCGGCCATCAAAAAATGTTGGATCATTATCAAAAATGTTGGTCTTATCACTCAACATCAAAAACTGGTTGGTGGTTTTAACCATCTTGAAAGATATGAAAGTCAATGGGAAGGATGACATCCCATATAATTATTATGGAAAATGAAAAATGTTTGAAACCACCAACCAGAAAATGTATTTTCCCTTCAACCAAGTCTAGCACTTATATGACCAAATCAAATAGACCGCTTCAAAGAAGACGACTGCGCTGCTGACGCATCAGGTGGGCTGTGGGTCCATGGCTTTCCTACCCTTTTTATTACGGAGCCGTTGTTTTTATGGCCAATCATTAGATCCCCTGCAACAAAAACAAAACGTACTGTTGACCCAGTTGTGGAGGCAACTGAACGGTAAATCGCATATCAGGCGGACATGATTAGCCCATCCACCTGGATTAATGGGGAGAAAAACGACTCTGCCTTCTTTTGTCGTTCGCGCTGGTTGCGACGCATTGCAGCCTGGGAAAGCCACGCAAAGTAGTTTGCAAACAGACCGTTTGACCATATTCAAGGGGGTGGTGCAAAAACAAACGATAGACGACACACAGGTTTAAATCAACTATGAAAGACACCCACTCTTCGATATGTTTGAACATTATGATTCGCAGAAAGCCAAACAAGTACATAATATATATATATATACACAATATTAAAACATGTTTTTTTAAATACATGTACATATACATGTACATATACATGTACATATACATGTACATTCCTATGCCAAAAGGAAACTGCAAACAACCAACCAACTCATGGCCCAAAATGATCCACGCGCGACCCCAGGCCCCAGGCCATGAAACTTTGCGTTCGAGCATGGCCTGACCTTGGAGATTTGCTGGACTGGTTGGGTCCTGTTTGCGCTTCAATTGGGAGAACTCCAAATCCCCGGAAAATTGTATGTGTACATATTAATATATATATATTATTAGTTATATATATATATAACTATAGATATGGGATATTCCGGAACAATGATGATGATTATGATGATGATGATGATGATGATGGTGTTGCTTGCTTGCTTGGTTGGTCGGTCGGTTGTTTGCTTGTTTGTTTGTTCGTTCATTATTTTGGAACAATACAGGGTGGTGGGACCCTCCCCCTTTTTTGACAACAATTTTCTTGATGGTTTGTTGATGTGTGTCGATGCCCTGCTACAGGTCTAACTTCTGGTACGATGTTTACCCATCCAACTACAGCAAGAGTACGGCTCTCAGAGAAACTCTACTATGTGGGGTTGTCCCGAAACAGGGGATAAGCTACGTCCACTAACTAACCATCAACCATCTGATTACCTGGTGGTTTTGGGCTGGTGATTTGAAACCCAACGATTCCCCCATACCCAGATGAATAGGATTAATATAGGATTAATATGGATTAATCCCATCCCCCTAATATTAAGCACCTCCTAAATGATCTAAATTTGATCCCAAATAAGTGTTTCTATCTCCTACATCCACCATGGTTTCTAGGGGATGTTTGGGATTCTACTATTGGGTTTGCTTTCGGGTATCCCCACACCCCATCAAACCCTAAACCAACTTAGCTGACCAAAAAAAAACAATTCAGTCCCAATCACCATTGTTGTTCGTGGAGGTTTCCTGAAATAGGGCTACCCCCAAATCATCCATTTATAGATGGAATTTCCATATCATAAACCATCCAAAACTTGGGGTATGATCCAATAGCCATCAAAAATCAACCGCTTGGCCCGAGCCACTCTTCAGTGTTCACCTTATGGGGCCTTGGTGCTTCACAACTCACAACGGTGATGCCCCGAGGCTGGTGACAACCTAGCATACTCTTACGCAACAAACATGGGTAACATAGGAATATGACAAAAAACAAAGGTGGGCATCATCAAACAAATGTGATACCATGTGATAATCAACAAATTATGTCACATGTATGGTATAAGTCAACTAATAATCACCAAATTATGCTGTGAAGTGGGGATAATCAAACAAATTATGGGATTTGAGAAACAAATCCGGGGGAGATCGACAAACACAAGAATCTGTGAAAGGCATGAACCGAGACAAAGATACACAAATGGGATCAGAAACCGACAAACATTGGGTTTTATGGTATTCACTAATGATGTGGATATAATCAATCATTTGGGGCGATTACAATCAGGGCGACTTGAATGGAATCAAGCCAGCTAAAATGTCAAATTCAATCTGGTCATAGATGATACTAATTCACTGACCTGAAATAAGGCTACCACCATTCTCAGGTCGCAGTGAGGTCGATATAATTTAACCAGATTCAATCAACTACAAAAATTGGATGCGCGCCACAAATAGTGGTGCTTCCACCTCATGTCCCCCACTTGATCTGCAGGATGAACAGATGAACACATCACACGTTGGCATGGCATTTGGCCATTATTGGCCATTATTTGGCATTGGCACCCAGCCTTGATAACCAACGTATCATTCAACCAAACGTTTCCAAACATATGGGGATGGGTCATTCAACCAAACGTACCCATGGTGAAGATCAACATAGCTGCATAGCTAGTAAATGGATGTCCATCCCCATTAAAAATGCTATATTATATATATTTTTTGGTATTGATCGATGGATATCCATAGCCATATGCCCTTCCAAAGCTTGCTGCGGCAGCCGAGTCGCGTCTGACACTCGCTCCGCCGTTTCGAGTCGTCTTTTGGGAGCACGTTTCTGGGGAGCAAGCCCTGGATGCCGCGGAAAAATCATCTCATATCTGGCTTTGGTAAGGGCAATTTGAGGGAAACAAACCATTGTTTTCCTGGTTTAGTTGATCAATTTTTCGCAATAAACATGGTGATACTGTGATCCAATAAAAAAAATCTGGATATCATCTTAAGGTCATAAATCCCACCATATCCCATTCTATTCCATGATATTTCTATATATATTCTTGGCTTTACACTGTACACCTTCATGTTTGCTTGCTAAATCCATCATTTTTGACAAACCACACCACAATTGCCAGGGGCCCACTTAGGTGCAAATGCATGCAAGTAACAGACCAGCGTGGGGTACGTATGGGTACATTGGGAAGGTTCCCATTGTGTATTATTTTTTACCCCACCAGATAAGTATGAACAAAACATGTTTTTTCCCATTTGTTGGAATCAACAATTCATCACAATATAAAAAACACACCAACCAGAAATTGTGTTTACAGTATATCCACCCTTAATCTTTAAATGCATTTTTGTTGACGACATAATCCCCCATGGTTTTGCAACATGATCCGACCTTCGAGACTTTCTCGGACTTGCCAGATGCTCCACCATACCTGCCATGATGAAATGATCAACTGGGGTGCAGACAATGACTCAAGCGCAACTCCTCTCCAGTGTTTTGACTTCCTTGCAAAAGATAATATAGTACGACTACAATAATAGACAGACATAGTAATGAAACAACAGTTAAATAAACAAGTAGTAATTTATGTACATACTAAGAATCCGAGCTGGATTGATTCGTGGTGCAAGCAACTTACGAATCAGCATGACCCAGCCATAGCACTTCGCCAATCCAGTCGACACCTCCGCATAAAGGACATGAATTCGCTCTTTGGAACCTTGCCCATGGATTCGGTGCCCAGGCCGAGAACTTTGTCCAGAGCAACATATCAAATGGTTGAGGATATCGATTTTTGAGAAGTACCTACATGTACCTACTATTTAAGAGTGACATGGGTCACAACTGATATCAATATGGGTTTTATGGTTTTCTGATACCGTTTTTATTTAAGTACAGTAAATAATAACATATTTTGGTGACATCTGACATGGGTCACGCTGTAAAAGCCTCATATCCCGGACAAGACGACGATCGCCTTTTGCCCCGAATGAACGGGTTTTGCTTATTTTGACTCAACCGGTGGGAGATAGTGACAAATAATTTTAACCCCAAAAAAATGACAATTTATACACCCGCAATTCATGGCAATTCATCATCATTTTGGACTTGGTCTTGTTTTTGGGGGCATGGATTTCTACAAAGACCTGAGTCACCTGAGCCTCTCACTCGCATCCGAGCGGAGGTGTCCAAAGCCTCAGGAACTTCAGAACATGCCCTGAGTTCTGCAAGAAAAACTCGAGAGTTCTGCAAGAAAAAGCGGAATTCAAATCAACAGCCGGTGACTTAACGGACCTTAATGGTGATCAGTGATTAAAATCAAATCATCATGGGGGTCAAAGCATGTCAAAACTTACTGTAGTTCATTCATTTTGCTGAGAAACATCTGCATCTGAATGGATTTGAGTGGATTTCAAGACACAACATGATGAGGGCGCAATCAACAAGGCAGGAGAAATGCATACAACACCGAAACAGATGTGGACATATGCTAAACAGTAATCACCTGCCATATTTGCGATTGGGAAATCTCCACGTTGCACGTTCACACGGCCCGGAGAGTGATGACTGACAGCAGATTCTCCGAACAGCAAAGTTGAGACTTCGTGCCCAGTTGAAATCAATGCGGCCACGACATCAAGAACAACTTTGTGACAAACAAGATAATGAAACATGGATAGTACACATCTTAAACTGTACATGTCAAATTTGGATAAATTTGGATATTTATCCAGATTGGATAATAAATGTTAGATTTGTTGTACCCGCCCTTGTTGCGGCCACATGCGGCCACCCTGCCTTCCAGAGACGAAACATATCGTCACTGGGGAGCTCCTGATGACGAAGATCTGAAAGGGGGTCATTGTAGACCGTCTGCTGCGATGTTGCATGCAGGTCATGTGCAATATACATAAATGTATTTGTTTCATAGAAATATACTTCTATGCAAATGTCTAACACATTCATATCAATTTATTTATATATATATATATACATATTCATCTTATATATATATATAACTGTATAATCCCTTCCCACTATTACTAACCCCCCCAAATAATAAAGACTAGGGTCCGTCTCCAATTTTGGAAAATTTGAGGTTGGCCAATTGATCCCCTTTAGAAAACAATTTAAACATGAAGCTACCATTTCAGGGTTTCACCCCCAAATTTTAAAAACTAGTCAACCCCGGGGTGTTTTTTATTAGGGTCCATCTTTTAAGGTCGAAAAAAAACAACGTATCTTATATTAAGGTTTTTAATCTAATATTAGGGGAAAGCTTCGAAATCCCATTTTGGGCAATATGTTAATCATATTTTATAAGGAAATCAAATCGATTTTGAAATAGAAAAAACAGTTTTTTATATTAGGGTTTTTAATTTAGTATTAGGGGGAAGCTTCGCACCCTAATAATAAATACCCCCTAATAATAAAAACTACCTGAGGTGTTTATTATTGGGGGGGTTAGTATTAGGGGGAAGGGATTATTTACTATGTTTTTCCTCCAGGCACTCAGAAGCACTGTGCTGCGGCCTAGCAAGTAAATTCACATTTCCATCAGGAAACTAGCTCCGGCGTGCGTAATCAGCACCAATCACCTCACCATATGTAGATATGTATATATATATATATATTACATATATGTTATAATTGTGCGTATCTTTTCATCTACAAATATATCTTGCGTACATTCATAGACATGTTCCTACACAAATCATATTGGCTGCTATCTATCTATATATATAATATATAGATATTGTGCCTTCATATACATTGTCGTTTTTTTTGGTCTAAATGGGCTACCGACGAACCACATCTGTTTGGTTCGTTCTAGTTGTTTCAGGCATTTGCTGCCTGCACTGGCAGCTTATCTTATGATCTTCACTTGATCGCATGTTATGCACACAGCCTTTGCACCGTATGGAAGAGCGCACTTCAAGTGTGACCATGTCGTTAAATTGTTCTATCCGCACACGGAAAACCAAAAATAGATACTGTAGACATGTTGGAAACCTACAAACTATGAGGTAAACACACATAATCTATAACATCATGGGAACATATGGGAAACACAAAATACATGATTGTTTTAAAACTATATACATATTTATTATATATATATACATATATAATTATATATATATAATTATTATTATGTACATAATTATATATAATTATATATATATATATACATAATTATATATATACAAAATTATATATATAAACATATATATATATATTTATAAAATTACATATGTACAATATGCATACGTCTATGGGTGTGTCTGAAAATGGGGTTTTCCCGCAATGGCATTTTTGGCAGGGAAAATGAACAAAAAAAACAAACCTTTACACAATACACAAATATGTATGAATATACAATATAAACATATACAGTGTATATATATATATATTCATTTATTAGCCATTATTAGCCATGATTAACCATCATTAACCATTATTAACCAGAATTATACAGGTATACTTACTTGCCCTTCCTAGCAGCATTCCCCATGCGCCACTCTGGGCTTCTCTATTTTCAGCCCATCCTCTCGATCGAGGTGTAAGCCAGGATAGGTGCCTTGCTGCAGGATGGCAGGGGACCGTATAATGAACGAACTAATGTGGGTAAAACAATGCCACAATGGTTAGTAATGGATAAACATGGTTAGTAATAGATAATACCGGTTGATAATGGTTAGTAATTAACCAATCATCTGTAATGTGGGCAAAACAATATCATAAACCACCCATGACTGGGAAAGGTCTATCTGATTCTGACTCATATCCAAATTTGCCTGTTGACATTGAGGGTAGAAATAGCAACGAGTACATCCCTGTTCAATCGTGAGTTTCACAGCAATCTTCCTGGTACAAGCCCATCCACGCCAGGGTCATCCCACGCCAGGGTTACCATGGGTTACCCACAGAAATCTGTGATGACTGTGAGACGACCTTTTCAACAACGTGGCAACGTGGATAAAGGGTCAAGGAACAGCAGATAAAGCTTTCATACATGGAGGAATATGGTGGATTAACATGGGATGACCGGCCGGGAACGAGACCGCGCAAGAACTTCTCCAAATCTTCGAAGGTAATGGTGCCTGCAGCAACAACGCCCCGGTGTTTCTCTTGAAGATGTTTGGATTTGGGTCAAAAATGGTCAAAATATGCTTGGCTCTGGAAACCACAGATAGTATGCTTTGCTTGTTGTATAATTTGTATATAAACGATCAGATTATTCTTGGTACCCAAAATTCGAGCAGTTTCAGGGTGGGTCCAAGCCGTGAGACGGCGCGGTTCCCGGACCGGGATAGGATGGTACTGCCGAGCAGAGCGTGGTTGCTTTGGTGGTTTTAGTTTGGGGAACACGAATTTCCTTTAGAAAACATGTTTTTTGGAGAACCACCACCTTTCCCCAGAACTGGGATGGTTCTGGCCGTACCTGTGCCCCTCCTGCTTAAGCCGAAGCTAAAATTTCAGCGGCCAAGACTCTTTTAAGCACACTTTCGGTGGCTAGTGTAAGATAAACATGTCTGGAGGTCAACCATAAATTTCCCAACTCAACCCATTCTGGAACCGCTAGAGGAAGTGGTGTCAGACAAACCCAGAACTCATTTCTCAGCCGTATTTTGGAATAGTGACAGCCGATTACTATCCAGGTACTACAATGTTGTTCCCCACAGTTTAGTGGGTAAACATAAGTAGGCTCTTCTGTTTTGTTTCTGGTGGATGTATCAAACTAGTCAATGACTCAATGATCAATGACTTACAGTAATGGTCTTACCCTCTGGTAAACTAACATAACTATGGAAAATCACCATTTGTAATGGGTAAATCATCTATAAATGGGCCATCTATACCATAGCAAACTGTTAGTCACTACCAGAGGCTATGTTCCAAGTTCCCCAGGATGACCCAAGGGAGCCGCTCCTGTGCCAGTGTTGTCGATGAAGAGATAGATCTGTGGCCGAAGTTCACCGTAAATCGCCAGCAAATTGGGGAAGTTGATGAACGTCGAGCACTTATATCAGCAGAAACAAGTCGGGAGTCGGGAAAAACATCAATACATATAAATACATATGATATGGGGATACAATATCAATAACATCAATAATTATCATCAGCAAGGATACATTGATTCAATGGCCATGTGGATAATGCCATGGCCCGGCCTTGTACCAGTTGCCCTCGACGTGGTGCCACCTGGCGGCGTCAGCTCATAAGCACTCCGGTGGGGGGGTCTGGAAAAAATGATCATGTGAATATTAACATATGTGTAAACATATTATATCTATACAAATGTATATATACGTATATTCTCTATACTATAAATAACATGAAATAGTATGAAATAGTATCAACATGATAGATGGATCATATGTACAAGGACAATATCCAATAGTCCCATCATCACTAGTCTCATGAATAGAATAGTCCCATGTATATTTTGAGAGATTGAGCATTTTGACCCATAACGTTGTGCAACCAATCCTGGCTTTTCCCACACATCATTTGGGGACTCAATGGCTGATTCAGTGTCCAGGAATGACCCGTTTCCAGCGTGGCAAATGCCCATTTCTATTGGATAGATCTCCATGTTCATCACAATCGCTCTGGGTACACCTTGATAATCTCATGCGAATCCAGTCAATCGGCATGTTCATCATATTTCTTGTGGCAAACATTCAAACTAATTGACATGACCAACCCATTCCCTTCGGTACGTCATTCCAATGTCATAGACATCAATTCCATGAAATCTTCAGTGTTTTCATAGCTAAACCCCGAGGTTCAATGCTTATATGTATTTTGAGAAGTTTCTATGGCTCAAAAAAAATCATGTGTTTTTTTTTCTCCGGTAGTTTCAGAAGCTTCTGTTGTTTTAAAAAAACACGCAAAACAACATGTTCATCTCTCTTCGCATGTCTGCATGGCTAAAAAACCAATGTTCGTAGAAATTCACATGTTCATCCATGTTTCATATATTATGTTCATAGATGTTTACATATTATGATACATATTGGTTTGTCTGAAAATAGACCACAGTTTAGTTTATCATCAGTTTTTATATAATATGAAACAGCAACTGCTGTGGTATATTTAGTATTTCCGGACACAGCCATATCTATCAGATTCTTGGCTATTTTCCGTTCGATTCCCATCATATCCCCATTATTCTTTGGTTCAATCCTGCTTTTTCATGGCTAAATCACCATTTCTCATGGTTAAATCGCCAAAATTTTGTTGGTGAAAAAAATCAATGTTTGATGGTTTCAACCCCCATTTTGGTGGTTTATACCTCCATTGTTCATATCGACATCCCCCCATCCCCACCCCCTGTCACCTGGAGATGGCAGCACTGACTACCTTGACCACCCGCGCCAGTTCGGCATCACTGCTGCGGGGCCACATGGCTAGCTCGTACCTGGCGATGCGAACCTGGATGGGAGTTTAGTAAAACACGATGATTGATGATCATTGGATTATTGGATTCTATGTTCATCAAATTTGAATTATTGGTTGATCTGGAGTTTTGATGATTGGATTCTATTTTGATTTTCTGAGGATAAAAACAGTTGGGGATTTCAACGACTTGGGAAGCAGGGTCTATGGAGTCGGATGTGTGCATATTTTGTGGAATCTATGATGACAATGTGCAAAACCATGGGATTTCCGGGAAAATGTTGATGTTCAACCAAGTCAACGGACCAACGGATTGTACAGCGAACAGTTGTTGCCTGGAATCTTTAAGCGGATAGGTGATTGTTCCAAGGGCAATTCGCCAGAAATGATGGGGCTTTGACATGGTGGGTTACACCCAGTTTTTCGATATGGGTTTCCTGGGTTCCACACTTTCCCTGTTGATTCATGTGGAAAAAATGGGCCGGATTCCCATCCTCAATCCCCTTTCCTTTATCCCCAAGATACAAAGGGTGCTATAATGCCAGACACCAAAATCACCAACCAACTGAAACCATCAACCAACAAATATATGGGATTATGTGTATATATATATATATAAAATCATAAATATACAATTATATATAATTATCTATACACATTACATTATGGTGTACATGATATATATATATAATTATATATATAAGACTGCAATCAATTGAAGGTGGCAGTTGTTGCAGCAACATAAACAATGAAATACACATTGATGAGTATGGAGTCTAACACCTAAGGCTAAGGCCTTGAAACCCACTAATGGGTGGGCAACATGTAGAGCCGTACCTGGACGTTTAACCTGTGTGGGTCGAATCATGATAGGTGGGTGATATCTGGTTGGTGGTTTTAACCATCTTGAAAAATATGAGTTCGTCAATGGGAAGGATGACATCCCATATATTACTGTATGGGAAAAAAACATGTTCCAAACCACCAACCAGATATAATTACATCAACATGTCCACTGCCTCACCACAAGTCATCGGTCAGACAGCCACACAACAAACCGCAAGCTGCACCTGTACATCATCTTCACAAATTCATCCAATGAAACCTACAGGGCCACTGGTCATTGAAGAGACAACCTCACTGGGGGATCATTAACAAGTTTCTTGGAACCACTCCGATCTCTGAATAGGGCACGATCATTCATCAACAGTGCAAGGGAGGGTTTATTATCATTCGAATTTCGACTCAAGGGACATCAAATTCAATGAAACCGGCTGTTTAGGCCGGTTGTTTCAATACATTGAATGCAGACCCCACCATTCGACATGAGCGTTGCCAACCAACCGGCTACTCCCAGTACACTGGATGAAATGATACAGTATCTCGCTGCCAGCAGCCGTTCAATTTTAAGCTTCTACACCAAATTCCTTCACCATCCGTAGGGTGCCTCTGACTAGGCAGGATCCATCTGCTCCTATACCTTTATAGGATTTTATAGGAATTTTTGACAATCGTTGCCAGAAATTACTCTCCCACAATGTTCAATCATCAACCAACGACGATGCCGCAACCAAATCTTGCGACTATCATTACAGATCAAGTATCCATCAAATCTGGTTCAATTGTAGTAGTTCATCAACGTAAAGTCTTTGGTCATTTATGGATAACTCCCCTGCGACCTCAAGCTTGAAAACCCCAAAACTTAAAGGAAAGGAATCTAACATAAATTATACCACAAGTCATACTATAAATATCAATATAAAATACCTGCATACCATCAAGCCACGTGAACATGTTCTTCTAAAGTCTCTGGTCATTGGATCTACTGAAATTTCGGTCTGATGTGCTGCACTTTGCCAAGCAATACTATCAATATTATCAATAATATGTTCAAAACAACAAACATATGTCAGATTCATGCCATACGTCTTGAGTTGGGTAAACCTCACAGTGACAAAACAAACATGTTTCAAACATTGATTTTTTAAACACATTTAAAACAGTATGGTGTCATAGTCTCAGATGTTAACCACATGGATTCGTGAATGGCGACCTAGGGCGACCTACCTCACCGGAACCAAGGGATTTTTGCCAGGGGTCCACAGTAAAGTAAGTCTCCACCATTTCTGGGATGCCTGTAAGAATGGATTCATATGGATTAATTGACTATGAATAGCATGAACAGCAGCTATTTACCATTCAGCAATATTCAGCATCATGATTTCCAACGAGAATCACATCACAACTATATAATGGTATAACATGGTATAACCAGTATTTCAATGAGATTTCCAACGTTATACCAATTCAATCATCATCTGCATTTCCAGAGATAATCAAATGGTATATCAATACACAGTTCATAGTTGTCAATACTAATTGTATAGGGTATATTGATGGTTGTAACTTATAACAATACACTTTTCTATCATCATCTTAATGGTATACCATCTGGTTATTTAACATAGCCATGGAAAATCACCATGCTATTAATAGGTCAACCATCTATTTCTATGGGCCATCTATACCATGGCTATGTTAAATAACCAGAGGGTAACCTGGTATAACCTGGTACCTTTTCCCAGCCAACTCCTCTCGCCATCTCGCCTCGCCACTACCGTCAGCATCTAAACGCCGCCAGAGCATCAGCAGTTCGTAGCGCGAAACGCGCGCGTGGCCTAGGGGCTGCAGCCATGGGAGACTTGGCTGGTCAACATGTACCCTCTGGTAATGACTAGCATAGCTATTGAAAATGACCATTAATAGTGGATTTTCCCATTAAAAATGGTGATTTTCAATAGCTATGTTAAATTACCAGATGGTAAGGCCTATGAGACCACAGATTTTGGATGATTTTGGTATGTTTAGTATCAATTTTATTAATCATCTAATTCTTGGGGTAACCAATTTTGACCCATACAGTACCCACTTCAAGAAAACAAAATTGGTCTTTTTTGGGGGGCTGGAAACCACGACAATGTGTGTTTTCAGACAAGCGAACATTCGATTTTTCGCAACACAAACGTGGTTTGAAGCAACAAACATGTGGATAGTATGAAAAATGACATCGAGAACCAAACAATGAAAATTTAAGCACAGAGATTTGGTATTGAAACTGAAATCTGAGGATTGAACAGCAACAGTTTGTTCCCCACCTGCCAGGTGAGGGTTGTTAGATTTTATGTCAGTTGCCTCCTCCTCCTCCTCCTTCTCCTCCTTCTCCTCCTCCTTCTCCTCCTCCTCCGCCTCCTCCTGCCTCGTCCTCCTCCTGTCCTCCTCATCCTTGTCGTCCTTGTCGTCCTCGTCGTCCTCGTCGTCCTCGTCGTCCTTGCTCAACTGCGACCCGCGATCCACAGTGTTCTCTGCCGGACCTCAACCACGACCATCCACGCCCAGTGTTCCCTGCCGGACCTCAACCACGACCATCCACGCCCAGTGTTCCCTGCCGGACCTCAACCACGACCATCCGCGCCCAGTGTTCCCTGCCGGACCTCAACCACGACCATCCGCGCCCAGTGTTCCCTGCCGGACCTCAACCGCGAGTATCCACGCCAAGTGTTCCCTGCCGGACCTCATGTAGGAAGATATGGGACAAAGAATGTGCAGAAGAAAGTTAGAAAGAATGTCAGAAAGAATGTCAGAAGATATGCCAGATAGATATGCCAGATAGAATGCCAGATAATATGCCAGAAGATATGCCAGATAGAATGCCAGATAGAATGCCAGAAGATTGCCAGATAGAATGCCAGAAAATATGCCAGAAGATATGCCAGATAGAATGCCAGAAGATATGCCAGAAGATATGTCAGAATATATGCCAGAAGATATGTCAGATAGAATGCCAGAAGATATGTCAGATAGAATGCCAGAAGATTTGCCAGATAGAATGCCAGAAGATATGCCAGAAGATATGCCAGATCATATGCCAGATAGAATGCCAGAAGATATGCCAGAAGATATGTCAGAATATATGCCAGAAGATATGTCAGATAGAATGCCAGAAGATATGCCAGATAGAATGTCAGAAGATATGTCAGATAGAATGCCAGAAGATTTGCCAGTAAGAAAATGTATAAATGTCATGGTGGGGATCACACGAAGTAAAGTAATTTTTTTCCGTTCCAACTTTCTGACACCAAAATTCTGTCATCATCCAGGTGGAAAGCAGTGCAACCAGAGGCCCAACCATCAGGTTCTCACAATATCCCGGCAAGCTGAGATTTGTCGATGTTGGAGATGTAGCCAGCTATGACATGCTGAGATTTGCGTTGCTGGATTGCTGGATTGCGAGTGCCTGACCGTCAGACCCGTTGTGGTTCACGTTTGTGCTACTGAGATTCCCGGACTCAAACATCTTTGAAACGCATCTTCCATTTCTTCAAAAGTTGCACGTCCACTGTCATCGGCGTCCTGGGGCGAGACAAGAACACGCTGGTTTGATGTGCTTGTGTTGAATTGGTAATTTGATTCAAACACTTTTGGTGAACTTAGGACATATGACTCATATGACCCTCAATGTTTGGTTTATCAAACTTCTACTTGTTGGTATAACTCACTGGATTTTGCCGATTAACATATATACACATGTTCAACCGTCCTTTTATATTTCAACTCCCCGACCACCACCTTAGAGATTCTTCCCACAAGACTCTGAGCGCACCATGTCAGAGAAGAAGCGATACCACCCCGCGATGGTGGTAGAGCAGTGCACACCGCGCTTGTGCAAATACGCCATCAAGGCCTACCGGTGCATGGTATGCCCCTATAGCAGTCACTGTGTATGTATGGTATGCACTATGCACATAGAAATATGTATATACACGTGTATATATATATATATATATGCTCAGCGGCCCCCCCTCGACCCGCAATTTCCATGTGTTTTCCATCGCACTTCCTGGTCTTATCGTGCCACTGATGCATCTGCTAGAATTTGTCAGCAACAATCTTCTTACATAATTCTATATTTACAGTTTGAACATGTCATAATCATACATGAACAAGACAGCAGACACGAAAATTGAGCACTTCTAGAAACACCTCCTACCCGTAAGCAAGGCGAGTTACGCGTTTTAGCTCAAAACAGATGTTTGGCTATTCATTGGTGGAGACATGGTTCAGTTTTTGCACAGACCAAGCTAATGTAATGCATAGGTGCACGTCACTTGAACATTTTCTTCTAAGTGTGGAATGAAGTTTGATTTCGTTATTTCCCAAGCATAGTAATGCAGACATTGAAAAGGAAAGCAGAGAGATTCCAACAATGAACCAAACAGTTCATGATGAGCCCAGAGGCAACCAAGTGCAAATTAACGAAGAACACAATCCTTCGAAATCCAATTTCAGGAAAATCTATACATTGCGGTTCTCTCACTGACTTTCTGGCGTCGATGGTGGAGGAGGTGTCATCGGTGGTGTATCCGGAGGAGTGCCCGGGAGCGTTCCACCCAACCCTGCCAACAACTCCGGAGGTGTCATCGGGACTGGTGTGGCCGCATCTTCTCGAGGAGTGTTTGGCACCATATCCATGATTTCGCTCCGGCCTTCTTCTGGAGTGTGTGCTGGTGACTCTACCCAAGGGTCTGGATACTCATCGAACCACCATTCTGACATTTGGGAAGTAGGTGTGTTCAAGCCCGATCGTTCACGTGGTGATCTGCTCCGCTCAGTGGCACCATCGAACTCGGAAGGGATCATTAAGTGGATGGATTCGGCCGGTGTGATCCAAGCAGACCTGGGTTCCGATGAGGATTTACGGTGAGGAAACATTGTCATGTAATGCCCATGTATCACAACAATGCACGATAGCGAAGTGCAGGAGTATGAACATTTCACAATGGTCTTGTCAAAACCTGGAAATTAGAAAGATTTTAAGAACAAAAATGATGACAGCTAGGACAAAGCACCTCCAAAACTCTTCAGATTCGCATATCCACCACTCAACGTCCCTGGTAGTTCCCTGGTTTTCTGCTGACGTCCTTCTGGGCTTTGGCTTGGCAAGCGGCACGGGTCGTAGGATTTGCGGCGGCGCCATGAAGTTTTAGAACAACAAATTTATGGCTGGCAGGACAGAGCGTCAGTTTGAACCAAAAACTTAAAGTATGCTAAATTGAAAAGAAACACCTCCTACCCGCAACAAAGGCGGGCTACGCGTGATGGGTCAGAAGCAGATGTCTTGCGATTCATTTATGGAGACACGATTGAAATCTTGCACAGACAAAGCAGATGTAATGTGCAGGTGTACGTGGCTTTTTACGTTGACATTTGTTTGGTGAAGGAAAGAAGAAAAGAAGGTGGAGCATGTGTGAAAACATATTGATTGGAAGTCCGTCAAATGCAAAGACAATGAGCATGCAGAAGCAGGCGGAAGCTACGATTTTTCGACCATGGCACTGAAGCTGGCAAACTCACGATTTCTGTAGACATTGCAACATTTCACCAGTTGCTTTCCATATGTTGGCGCCCTTGTGACAATAAATCCATTGAATGGAGCGAACTTTGCGCTCAAGTAGACAACTGCCGGGCTTGCGACTAACAAATTAACCCAGCTTTGCAACCCAACAGCATACCTGAATCTTCCACCTACGTCTTTTTTCAGACCCTGTGCCAAAGTCCTGTTTTTTCAGTACCCAGAAAACTTTTCAGGACCTACTCTCAAATTCAGGACCTGGCCATTTTGGGGTATCAATGGTAATGGCAATCATTGGGTGCAAACATGTGAAACCAACATTTGGTGGATATTCAAGCCATTGGCATTGATCCACGCAAATAAAAGCACTCCCAGCCCAAACTCATGGCAAGGCAGGATCAGAATATAGTATATTCCAGAAAGTATGTCAGAATAGATGCCAGATAGGATGCCAGAAAGAATGTCAAATAGAATCTCAGAAAAGAATGTAAGATAGTATGTCAGAACATATATGCCACATATACGTCCAGATGATATGTCAGAAACTATGTCAGAATAGTGTGTCAGGGTGGGGATCACTCTTAGTAAGGCAATTTTGAAAATATATTTCAGGTTCGGAATTTTCAAACTGTTGTCCTTCAGGCGCCGAAGCTCCCGTTGAAGGTCAGCATCGCCCCATGTCAACTGGTCCAGTCCCACTTCCATTTCAACAAGTCCAACTTCATCGATTAGGGTGTTGGTTGAATGGACTTGGGACTCTAGCTGGCACGGCATCCCTTGTAACCCTGTAGACACTGTAGTGGGCAAAAAGATTGTAACACACAGAATCAGCATCATTTTGATCAGGCATTCTTTTTGCTAATCCTTTCTCCCTATTACGAAAAATACCCCCAAATGACAAAAACTAGGTGCGATTTCCAATTTTGGGAAATGTCAAATTGGTTAATCTGATTTTTAATTGATCCCCTTGAGGAAACAATTTTAAAAATGAAGGTACCATGTGAGGGTTTCACCCCCAAAGAATAAAAACCTAGTCAACACCGGGGTGTCTTTTATTGGGGTCCGTCCTTTAAAATCGTCAATTTTAGTTTTTTTAAATTCAGGTGTTGGTGTTTTATTTGATACTAGGCGAAAGCTTCGAAATCCTATTCTTGGCAGTATTCTATTTAAAGATTATTTTCATGGATTTTGAAATTAGAAACAAAAAACGGTTTAATCCCTTCCCCCTGTTGCTAAACAGTCGCCCCTTCACCCACCCACCCAAATAACAAACACCTGGAGGAGTTTTTAGTATTGGGGGGGGTCTTTAGTATTAGGGTACGAAGTTTCCCCCTAATACTGATAATTACTTTACTTCGTGTGATCCGCACCATGACATTTATACATTTTCTTACTGGCAAATCTTCTGGCATTCTATCTGACATATCTTCTGACATATGATCTGGCATATCTTCTGGCATATCTTCTGGCATTCTATCTGGCAAATCTTCTGGCATTCTATCTGGCAAATCTTCTGCCATTCTATCTGGCATATCTTCTGGCATTCTATCTGGCAATCTATCTGGCATTCTATCTGGCATATCTTCTGGCATATCTTCTGGCATATCTTCTGGCATTCTATCTGGCAAATCTTCTGGCATTCTATCTGGCATATCTTCTGGCATCTCTATCTGACATATCTTCTGGCATTCTATCTGGCATATGGCATATCTGACATATCTTCTGGCATATCTTCTGGCATATCTTCTGGCATATCTTCTGGCATCTTCTGGCATATCTTCTGGCATATTTTCTGGCATTCTATCTGGCAAATCTTCTGGCATTCTATCTGGCATTCTATCTGGCATATCTTCTGGCATATTATCTGGCATTCTATCTGGCATATCTTCTGGCATATCTTCTGACATTCTTTCTGACATTCTTTCTAACTTTCTTTTGCACATTCTTTGTCCCATATCTTCCTACATGAGGTCCGGCAGGGAACACTTGGCGTGGATACTCGCGGTTGAGGTCCGGCAGGGAACACTGGGCGTGGCTGGTCGTGGTTGAGGTCCGGCAGGGAACACTGGGCGTGGCTGGTCGTGGTTGAGGTCCGGCAGGGAAAAGTGGGCGTGGATGGTCGTGGTTGAGGTCCGGCAGAGAACACTGTGGATCGCGGGTCGCAGTTGGACGAGGACGACGAGGACGACGAGGACGACGAGGACGACGAGGACGACAAGGACGACAAGGATGACAAGGAGGACGAGGAGGACGAGGAGGAGAGGAGGAGGAGGAGGACGAGGCAGGAGGAGGCAACTGACATAAAATCTAACAACCCTCACCTGGCAGGTGGGGAAAAAACACACACACACACATATATATATATATACACATATTTCTATTTCAAAATCGATCAGATTTCTTTCTTTTAAAATCCAATTAAAATATGGCAAACAAGTGGATTCCGAAGCTTAATATCAAATAAAAACCCCCAACATAAAAAACTATGTATGTTTTTCTATTTCGAAATCGATTAGATTTCCTTTTAAAAATTAAATAAAATATGGCCAAAAATTTGGATGTCGAAGCTTTTCCCTTATATTAAACCCTAATATCATTTTGTTCTTTTTCCTGTTTCAAAATCGATTAGATTTCCTTTTGAAATCTAATGAAAAAAAACAAAAAATGATTTTGAAGCTTTCCCCTAATGTCAAATTAAAATCCAATTATTAAAATATGTTCGAAAATTGGATTTCGATGCTTCCCCTAATCTTGCATGAAAAATTCCAATATAAAAAACGAAATTTGTTCTATTTCAGAATCGATTAGATTTCCTTGTAAATTCAAATTAAGATATTGCCAGAAATTCGATTTCGAAGCTTTCCCCTCATATTAAACCCTCATATCAAAGACTATTTTTTCTATATCAAAATTCATTAGATTTCCTTTTGAAATCTAATTAGAATATGGTCAAAAATTGGATTTTGAAGTTTTCCCCTAATATTACATTAAAAAACCCTAATATAACATATTTTTTCTTTCTTGAAATCGATTCGACTTCCTTTTAAATTGTAGTAACAAAAATAAAAACAAAAACCGGATTTCGAAATGTTTCCTCTAATATTAAATTACCAGCCCTAATATATTTAAAAAAAAACTGTTTCAAAATCGATTAGTTTTCTGTTTAACATATAATTAAGATATTGCTAAAAATTGGATTTCGAAGTTTTCCCCTAAGATTAAATTAAAAACACTAATACAAAAAACTATGTTTTTTCGATTTCAAGAATCGATTAGATTTCCTTTTGACATCCAGCAAAAATATTGCCAGGAAATGCCAAAAAGTGGATTTCGAAGTTTTCCCCCAATATTATATAAACGTCGTAATATGAAATACTTATTTTTTCGACCTTAAAAGACCCTAGTTTAAAAAATCACCGGGGCTGACTAGTTTTTATTTTTTGGTGGTGAAATCCTGAAATGGGACCTTCATGTTTAATTTGTTTTTGAAAAGGTATCAATTAAAAGTCAAACTGGCCAGCCTGAAATTTCGCAAAATTTAACGCGGACCCTAGTAAAAGGAATCAATGTAATATTTTAGTATTTAGGGTACGTTTAGTAAAAGGAGGTGGGGATTAGTAAGGTTTTCAATTTAATATAAGGGGAAGCTTCGAAATCCAATTTGGCAAGATTTGAGTTAGATTTTGAATAGGAATTCAATGGGTTTTGAAATATAAAGTTCATTGTTTAAAACGCATGTTTTCAATTTAATGTCCGGGGGAAGCTTCGGAATCCAATTTTGGCAATATTTTAGTTAGATGTTATTAAAAAAATGTTTTCCAATTTAGTTTTTTTTAACCAAGGGGGAAGTTTCGCACCCTCATACTAAATACCCACTAAATACAAAAAACTATTCCGTGTGTTCATTATTGGGTGGGGAGGGGCAGACGGTTTATTATGACGCAGGGATTGGTCAGGCATCACTTGCTGGAATTATTGGATTCTTTTGGGATGATTGGTATGGTGTTTAGTCAGGCATGGTTCCCTTCAGTCACGCACGATTTTTGCAAAAATCCTATTTAGGCACGACCCCAAAATCCCAGCCCGGCAAATTCCGGCCCGGGCCCGGCAAATTCCGGCCCGCGCCCTGCAAATTCCGGCCCTGCGTTTTTCCAAAATCAGGCAAAACCAGTAAACCAGGTATTAAGTCAGGTGTAGTTACCTTTTAAGTCATTAAGGCTAGTCAGGCATGGTTCCAGTGGGTACCTTTTAATTGTGAAGGCTAGTCAGGCATGGTTCCCTGAATTCAGGGGCATGGGTACCTTTTAATTATGAAGGCTAGTCAGGCGTGGGTTCTGTTAAGTCAGGCGTGGGTGGGTACCTCTTAATTATGAAGGCTAGTCAGGCATGGTTCCCTTAAGTCGGGTGTGGTTACGCTTTAAGTCATGAAGGCTAGTCAGGCATGGGTACCTTTTAAGTGATGAAATCTGAATCAGGCGGAGCTCCTATTCTAAATGTGTTAAATCCAATTGTTCAGTGTGGAAAATCGATTTTTTGGCTGGTATACGGGCAAACCCTGTGTCTTCCAATACCATAGCGTGCTGATGTCGCTTGCCTGCATAATAGTTAAGGCCAAAGCTTAGGTCATCAGTGTGATCCTGAAATTGCGCCACGACCAAGAAGATGACATGTGTAAAATGGGCCCTGGATTAACAAAGGCTGACTAATGAATTTGGAGGATGCCACTAAAGTATGACATGTAATCACTTTTGAGGAGCACTCTATGGCACGCAGCGCGCGCAGCCTGCTTTACGGTTTAGCGTTTGAAAGTTTTAGGCTTTGCCTATGGCACGCAGCGTTTGAAAGTTTAACCGTTTACCTCTATGGCAGGCTGTGCGCGCAGTACGCGTTACGGTTTAAAGTTTGAAAGTTTTAGGGTTTATGTGTGTGGCACGCAGTGCGCGCAGCGCGCATTAGGGTTTAGGGGTTGGAAGTTTTATAGTTTATTTTATTGCATGCAGCGTGCACAGCGTGGGTTGAACTTTAGGGTTTCGAAGTTTTAGGGTTAACCTCCATGACACGATGGTTTAGGGTTTGGAGATTTTAAGGGGTACTTCTATGGCACACAGCGCGCGCAGCGCGCGTTAGGGTTTAGGGTTTAGGGTTTGGAAATTTTAGGGTTTACCTCTATGACACGAGAGTTTCAGGTTTGAAGACTTTAGGGTTTATTTCTATTGCACAAAGCGCGCGCAGCGCGCATTAGTGTTTAGGGTTTGAAGGTTTTAGGGTTTATCTCTGGCACGCAGCGCGCACAGCACGCATTAGGGTTTAGGGTTTGGAAATTTTTGGGTTTACTTCTCTGGGACACAGCGCGCGCACCGCGCATTAGGGTTTAGGGTTTGGAAGTTTTAGGGTTTACTTTATTGCATGCAACGCGCGCAGCGCGCATAGAGTTTAGGGTTTGGAAGTTTTAGGGTTTCAAGGGTTCCAGGGTTCCAGGGTACCAGGGTCCCACGGTTTCAGGGTTCCAAGGTTTCCAGGGTTCCAAGGGTTCCAAGGGTTCCAGGGTTTCAGGGTTCCAGGATCCCAGCAGGGTGCCAGGCGTGCAGGGTTCCAAGGTTCCAGGGTTCCAAGGTAGCAGGGTTCCAGAATCCTTGAGGGTTCCTGGGTGCCAAGGTTCCAAGGTTTCAGGGTTCCACGGTCGCAGGGTTCCAAGGTTCCAGGGTTTCAGGGTTCCAGGGTTCCGGGGTTCCAGGGTTCCAGGGTTCCAGGGTTCCGGGGTTCCAGGGTTCCAGGGTTCCGGGGTTCCAAGGTTTCAGGGTTCCAGGGTTCCAGGGTCCCACGGTTTCAGGGTTCCAAGGTTTCCAGGGTTCCAAGGGTTCCAAGGGTTCCAAGGGTTCCAAGGGTTCCAAGGGTTCCAGGGTTTCAGGGTTCCAGGATCCCAGCAGGGTGCCAGGTGTGCAGGGTTGCAGGGTTCCAAGGTTCCAGGGTTCCAAGGTAGCAGCGTTCCAGAATCCTTGAGGGTTCCAGGGTGCCAAGGTTCCAAGGTTTCAGGGTTCCACGGTCGCAGGGTTCCAAGGTTCCAGGGTTTCAGGGTTCCAGGGTTCCGGGGTTCCAGGGTTCCAGGGTTCCGGGTTCCAAGGTTTCAGGGTTCCAGGGTTCCAGGGTTCCAGGGTTCCGGGGTTCCAAGGTTTCAGGGTTCCAGGGTTCCAGGGTTCCATTCCGGATTTTGAAGGCTGCAAGTCCCCGCGAGCCAGCCCCAGCCCTAGAGATTGAAACCCAACAGGCCCTGCTGTTGGGAATTTCAAACCCTGTCGCAGAATGCCCCAAAATCGATCGATGATTTGCGTGCCACTCTTTACCTTCACCGTTTTCCCACATGGAAGTTTGTGGGTGTAGACCTTGGTATAATGTGGTTTCACCCAAGTGAACTTGCCGTTGATCTGGTCAGCCCTCCCAACGACAATAATCAAGTGCGGGTCGAGGGGGGGCCGCTGACCATATATATATATGTATATATATATATGTCAATATGTATATATACAAATATCTATATATATATACACATATACATATCTGTACATAGATATTCAGATATACATAGATATCACATGTACATGAATTGGCCATGTTGGGAGGATCAATGGATTGAACATGGAGCTCTGGTCACGGTCCTGATAAAGAGGAACACTATTGGAGCCAAAAAAAACGTATCAAAAAAACAACAACATTACAAGGATATGTATATGTATACATGCAAATAGATAAAACACGATAAAACAAAATGGAATTCTGGCAAATCTATACCAAACATCACATGTATATACATACATACCATCCTGGTGGCACACTTTTTGGGCCTCTGCCAAGCGTTCCGCCACCAGTTTAAGGGCAGGGTCCTGTCCGAAAAAAATGGTCAATGTCCATCAAAAAACGGTTGCATCAACTGTTTGGCAACAAAAAACAGGAAAAACATGGAAAAACATCCTGAAATGACGGCTGGTGAAATCATAGATGTTGATGGTTGACTGAAATGGCCCCCCAGAAGGAGAATTTTCATGGAAAAAACCAATGGTCCTGCTCCGGGGTAAAAGTCCGCTGCGGGGTAAAAGTGCCGTGAGATTGTCTCATCATCGCCTCGGCGGAGAGTGCGAACAGCGTTTCAGCCCGTCACCCCTCGGAGTTCGCTGTGAATGGATTTAGCTATGCTCAAAGCTACCTGCCACAATGCCTCCAAAAATCCGTTTCGGTCTGTGTTCAAAACTATCCAGGTCGTGAAATAGTGCTACTTCTATAAAGTTTGCTCCCGATATCATGGCATGTTTACCGGGATGTAGTCATTTTTTGAGGTATACGTTGGTGACGGCTGCATATATGATCAAATCACAACATCAAACCTCAACACATTTACAAGTACCTTTCAGCCGCAAGGTAAGATGAGCAAAGTCAACAATGTGAAAACTCTCAATTTCCCAAAATCAACTACTCTATCATCTATGTGAGATCTTTTGATGTCGACAATACTGCAAAAAAACACATATAACTTATCCACAATCTATTGATCAGTCTCTCTGTCTACATATGTGTGTTTTTTCATTATTGTTTCATGTTTTTGTTCTTTTCTTATCTTACTATATATATATATATGTCTGTATATTATTGCTACTACCTTCCTATCTATCGATCTGTACATCTATCTATCTATCTAGCTATATTGCTATCTGTCTATCTATATGGCTATATATCTATCTATCTATCTATCTATCTAGCTAGCTAGCTAGCTAGCTAGCTATCTATCTAGCTAGCTAGCTAGCTAGCTATCTATCTCTCTATATCTCTCTATCTATCTATCTATCTATCTATCTCTCTATATATCTATAGATCTATCTATCTATCTAATCTAATCTAGTCTAGTCTAATCTAATCTAATCTAAATCTAATCTATCTATCTATCCATCTATCTATCTATATATCTATCTATATATCTATCTATCTATCTATCTATCTATCTAATCTAATCTAATCTAATCTAATCTATCTATCTAAAAATATATCTGTCCATCCATCTATCTGGATTTGTGCAGTATTTTCCACACATTCTTAATGACGGTTGAAATAGTTTAACATCATTTCACATACAAAAAACAACAAACACATCATTTTTCTGGCATTTCACATCCAAAGGCGCCCCCACTGCCACAGCGGAAATTGGGTTTCGCTACCGATTGTGCCCCCAGTCTCTGCAGTGACAAGGACACATCGAATGCCTGCCCGAGATATTGGGAAACACCAGACACCCACGATCCCACCCCGTCTCCTGGCATGGTTAACATAGTACTACCCTCTGGTGAACTAACATAGCAATGGAAAATGGCCATTTATGGTGGATTTTCCAATGAAAAATGGTGATTTTCCATTGCTATGTTAGTTCACCAGAGGGTAAGTTATTAAATAATTTTGAATGAGTGATTATTGGTTGTTATTCGTCAACATGATACATACTATACAGACTAATCATATTGTCACCAAAAACTGTATAATGGCTAGCAATGGTTGGTAGAAAAGTATCCCGCCAATGAGCCAGGTCAGTTCATCACCCCTGCATCAATCCATCAACATGGGTATACCTAATAGCTCAAATGTATCATAGAAGCTTAATTAAAAATTGACCCAATTTTGGTGTGCAATATCTTGTGCAATTGTAACTGTAATGCTTAGACACTGGAACTCACATGACGAGAATTTGGATGGGTTGTAACATGTTGTAACCAACCAGCTCATGACACGGACTGGAGCAATGCGAAAAAATCTTCGGGTCAGTCACAGATCTGGGGTTTCCCCCACCAAAAAAAACGGTTGCTGATCTCTGGAGAGTACTTGGATGGGCCATGGGATTAGCTAAATGGTTAGTAACTGGGGATATAACCCCCAAACAATCCCAATTATAATCCATTTACTAACTAGTTAACTAACTCCATGGCCCATCTAAGTATAGTACCTCCTTTTGAAAACACCTTCGCTGCGAGCGCTTTTGTTCGGTCGGCCTCCGATTGCTCTCCCGTTGGGGTGTCGATGCCCCGGACCTCGATGGGATCAGCTCAGGCGCCATGGAGGATGATGCCTTTTGCTGTAAATATATAATCAAAACAAAACATAATCCTTTGCAACCATATATAATCAATGATATCAATCAATGGTAAATTGGTGTAAATATATAATCAATGATATTGCCTTTTGTTTTTTTAATGAAGATTACGACTGATTATATGATATTATCAATATGGTGTTGTTTTACTGTTGTTATTCAAAACACATAACATAGAATTGGAGAATAGTGATTCCCTGTCTATTCCTAATTCAGATTTCTGGATATCTTTATGGCTTCGCAATGTCCCACAGGAATCCAAGTTTGAGAGGCTAAGTCGGCTGATAGAGATTGCCAACGTGCCCCTGAAACAACTTGTGTAGTAAAGACTCTCTCCCTATACATTAAATAATATTAAATAATCACATGTGTATATATGGTGGGTTCTTAAAATGGTGGATCCCCAAAACCAGTTCAATCCTAAAATGAATTATATAGTATTGGAATGTATTGGATGATTTCGGGATACCCCCACTTTAAGAAACCTCCATATGTTTTCAGCTGCCATCGGCCACTCCCATACTGCTGGGTCTCCCCACATCACCGGGTGGAGCCGTTACTCCGGTAAGGCCTGAAAGTTACCGTTGACGAGAGGCGAACGTTCTGAAGTGTCGGGACCGTGTGGTCCCGCAATGAATGAAACATATCTAAAATGATCTAAATTACATACGTAAAAATAAAATGAACAAACATGTATATCAATGTTAATGTATATTCTATAGTTAATATCATGATTTTATGTGATGATAGTCTCTCAACTTCAAAAGAAATGAACTCGCCTGGCGTTCGCCGTGGAGTGGATATCAGGGCGCTGGCCGCCTGGTGGGCAACTATACCCCACCATGAAAAATGCTATTGGATGGTCATTGTTCATGGGACTTCATGGAATTTAACAGTGATTCAATGGGATTTAATGGTGATTCAATGAAATTTCATAGGGGGTTCTTAAAATGGGGAATCTCCAAGACACCATAGTTCTTTCAATACGAAGTCATTGTCATGCATGATGTCATCCATGACTTGGATGATTTGGGGGTACCCATATTTTAGGAAACCCCCAAATGGAGATTGAAACAACAATGACGGACTAAATTCAACGGACAAAATGGGATTGAATCAATGACAAACGGTGATTCAATTGATGAACAATCCAGGTGTTGACCACAACCAAACCGCAGATTTATATACCCAACAAAAAATATGGGAATAGAGCCAACTTGACAGGAGCATATATATATATAATATGATTCTTAGCCCTTAGCTCTCAACCAACAAACAAAAATGTGTTAACCAACTGTGTCTGAAATAATCCTTGAATCTACTTAAGTACCCCCTGCATGGAAACTCAAGTATTTGGACGTGATGTATCTATTACCATCTATGAATATGTATCAATATGTACCAAGGCTTCGTACATTCCTACATTCCAAGTGCAGAGTCTCGCAAAATCCAACATGCGTGCCGTACCTTCTCAAGCATAAGCCCCTACAACTTGCAATTGCGCCCAACAAAAAAGGAGGTTTTCAGTAAAAACCAGCCAAAAAACCCATCCAAAACCCATGAAAAGCCAACCAAAACCCATCAACAACTCACCAAAACCAGGCATTTTTTGGGGTCACCAAACTCCCAACGGCCGTCCGTGGCGACCACGTTGAACCCCCCCCGGCCGTGCTGGGAGGATGCGTGGATTCCGTGCCGGGCCGCAACTGTGGGGAGCCGGGCTTCTGCCTGGTGATTTCTGGGACCATCTTGGATGAATTGATCCATAAAATCCATGGAAATTATAGATTGATGATATATATATATATACTATATATATATAGATGGAATTTTGATGATAATTTTATGGATTAATTATGATTAATTGGATCATAGATAATTCGAATGATAATTCCACTATATATCCAATAGATAGTTATTGATATCTTCAATAAGTGATAATGGTCAATATAGTCTATAGATGGTCTATATTCAATATAGATCTACAATGGTCTAGATAGTGATTGATGATAATTTTGGATTATATAATTGGATATAGGTGGTGTTTAATGATGATTTTAATGGAGTAAGCGTGACTGGTTGATGGTTAAATATGGATGAGATGGGTGTGTTTAATGATGATTCAGGGAGAAATCATTGTGACAGATTGTATGTAAATCAAACTGGGTAATGGTTTAATATCATGGATACTGTTTAGCATCGTTTACCATCGTTTAATGGGAAACATCAGCGATAAATGAGGCATGTTCCATGGAAAACAGTTAGTTTACCAGGCGCTATGTGCCATGGTCAAGTGCCCATCCACTTTGATAGTAGTATATCTCAACTGTCGACCATAACAATATATATATAATTATACATAACAGGGCTGCTTTAATGGATGAATCAATTCAAAATCTCTAACTGCTTGGTGCCCGATTTTGGATGCAGGGCACGTACTGTATATATCTACCCATTTCCACGCCGAGCCTTGATTGCAAGGACTCCCTCTCCGGTAGCTGTTCCGCTTCCTGGTCGAAAACGACACACGTTCAACACATTGAAGGATTAGACGATTTTCAGGGGCATTGCCCCTGTTTTAATGGATATTTAACTCATGTTTCTGGGGTATGTCCAATTGGGAATTATGAACATATTCCCTCATGGAATATTATGGATCTATCAATCCTCTGGGAATTTAAAAGAACTATGGATGATTTACCATGATTACCCACCAAAAAAAATGGTTGAACATGGTTGAACAATGACATACAAAATGACCCTGGAGGGATTTCGGCGCTCACTGATGCAGAAATCCTGAGCTCTACACGTTCTTTTTGATGGTGTTTGAGTGTCGCTACAGTTTTGTGACGAGCTTGCATCTTTGAATAAACCTGGTTCTTTCGTAAACGAACCTGCAAAGCTTCAGATGACATTTTTGGCAATCATTCGTTAAACTTTTTCATGTAGCACGACATCTCTAGTACATGTAACATCATGCAGCGTGACATCTCCGCTGTACGCAAGTTGATGTGAAAGTTATTGCCCCGCCCCCAGCCGACCCCATGTATACTATCATACATAAGTATGATGAAAAACATACAACGTCAGAAACCCCTGTTTCCCTCTGCCCGCAAAAATGATGATAAAAGTGCCTGACCTTTTTCAAGACTATGACGTAACATATGGTAACTATGCAAACACGCAGGTCCAAATCCACAGGATTTTCTATATTTTCTAGAGTGCCACTGCTAGGTTGCCCGACTTCCCCATCGTTCTTGTGGTCCGAGTCTGTATGAACTCTGCGCAGCGTGTCGTCGGAAGTGAGCTGCTCCTGCGGGTTTTAGTCGAGATGATGAGTTGATGATGGATGAGTTTTTTCGCGAATATTAATTGAATGGAACCCATTGTGTGGCTTACGATGCTTACGAACCCACCATTCAGCGGATTTTATCCGATGCCGAATATCAAACAACCCCCGGTCTAGTCTTGCATCAACATCAACATAAACTTCGTTGATTTTCATAGGTAATCTCAGGTGCTCCCTCAGATAGTCATTCCGAGTTAGGGACAGCTGTCAATGGGTAGTTTTTCAGCCCACCATTACAGCCGCACAGCTACAGTTGCACCAGTTGAAAATTGCTGCAGGTTTTGTTGCAGCGGTTGCCAAGACAGGGTTTCTGTTTCCGTTGGTGCGGGCCGTGATCTGGAAAAGCGGTCGGAAGAATACTGGGGGTCCGAGACAATATTGGAAGATGAGGTCAATTTAAACATCGTGATGAATTCAATGAAACACCTACGGAATTGAAAAAAATACTATCGGCCTTGCATTTCCTCTATTTATAGCCACTAAATATGATCGAAACTTCCGCCCAGCGCGGGGCTGGGCACTACTGAGTATATCTTCCCACTTATGACAACATATTAAAGTCCATTAACATGTATTAAGCGGATTAGAGGTTTTCAAGTGGTATTCAACTACCCATTGTTGACCCAGAATGCAAATCGAAAATTCGGGGGATAGGATTAGCCCATCCAGCCGGTCACTGCCTTTGTTTGCCGGTCGGGCTGATTTCGACGCACTGCGGCCTTGGCAAGCCAGACAAAGTAGCTCGCAAACAGTTTTTTTTAGCCACACTCAAGGGGTGGTGCAACCCGGGAAAAAGGGAAACACTGATTTTAATACGCCAAACATGATGGTGTCCATTTACACTTTAAACTACCATTTTTTTATGGCTAAATCCGCCATGGGACAGAACACAAATCAGTTGCAGGCTCAGACCCTGACTCGTTACCCACTGAGGTGCAAATCTATGGGAGTCAAACTTGGGGGGTCCCATGCTAAAGGCCAGTGTATGGCACAGAGGAGTTCCCATTGTTTTCCAAATCTAGTTGTTTTTGATTTTTGAAAACCCCACAAGCATTCAATTCAAAACAATCATCCAATTTGTTTGGAATAAAAACATATGCTTAAACAAAATAAAACCACCAATTAGAATCATTAGAATCAACCAGAAAGTTTCTTTATACCCGCCTTTATGTATAATATAATATGTATATATACCATTACTGATGGCACAATCCCCCATTCTCTACCGCAACATGATCCGACCTTCGAGACCTTCTCGGACTTGCCAGATGCTCCACCATACCTGCCATGATGAAATGATCAACTGGGGTGCAGACAATAACTCAAGTGCAACCTCCAGTGTTTGGACTTCCCAAGATAATATAGTCACATACTAATAAAACATAATAAAACAACAATAATAAACAATTCTTAATACTAATCCAAGCTGGATTGATTCGTGTTGCAAGCAACAAGAATCTTAGACCCAGCCATACCACGGCGGCGATCCAGTCGACACCTCCGCATAAAGGACATGAATTCGCTCTTTGGAACCTTGCAACCCATGGATTTGGTGCAGATGGTTTTTCTCGGGAGGTTGGCTGAGAGGTTGGCTGAGAAGTGCTACGGAATAGATTTTGGTGACACTAAAACCACCTTGAAAATCACCACATGAAGCACTTAAAGCACCATTTTCTTAGGATATCAAATTTGTGAGATGGACATTTATATATATTTATATTTATATATATATCAGTACTACAGTAACATATGATATATGGGGGTTCCTAATCCTCCTTAATCATCCATTTTAAGAGGATTATCCATCACAGTGATTACAGTGTAAACAAACCATCTGGGAGATTCCCCATATTTTGGTGACATGGCTCAGAAATAAGCTCCACCGGGTCCACATCAGCATCTGGTTCGCCGCCCGAGACATATTTTTGCGACCAAAATTTGGAATTCCAACTCAACGAACACTCGGCCGCCAAAAAAGAAGCACATCAACATAATGGTTGAGCTGGTAATTATCAATCACAAATGATAATGGTTGATGATTGGTTGATGATTGGATAATGGTTGAGTTGGTTGATGATTGATTAGTGATTCTTAGTGATTATTAGTTTGTGATGATCAAGCGCATACACAAGTAATTCACCGGGTAAATTATAATATTTCACTAACCTGAATTAAGGCCATTTGGGGATCATTTCCCTTACTAACCATGATTCCAGTGGTCGCAGTGAGGTCGTTATAATTTACCCAGACCATATGTTTTTTATTCGATGTTACTTTTCTTTTTTTGAGGTTGCCACGCGTTGCAACAGCTGCGTCACTAGAGGCCCTGACTCGCATCCCTTCCGTGGTGTCCAAAGCCTTGAACAAAGACTGAGATCCACAGCTTTTGAGGACTTACTGGGGATTAACATCAAATGAATAGATCTTGGGTTAAAGTTTAATCCTTTCTGCTGAGAAAACATCTTAATTTCAATGGATGAAAATGGATGTAAGACGATTTGAAGACACAACATTGTGGGGATACAATCAACAAGACTGGAGAGTGCAAGCCGAAACTTGTGTGCAAAAATGATAAACAACAATCACTGACATGCACCATGCATCACCTGCTATATTCTCAGTAGGACATCTCACCTGTTGCTGAGCCAAAAGATGGTTGAGACCTCATACCCAGCTGAAATCAATGCGCCCGCGACATCACACAAACAGTTTTAGAAATGGGACATGTCACCAACAAAATCGTGAAACATGGTTGGAATATCTTGGAATATACCCAGTCTATTGGAATAGATGTTCCCAACTAATTCCCATCCAAAACTGTCCCAAATATTTCCCAGATTTTTGTTGGACTTCTCCACACAGCGGGCCTTCCAGAGGCGGAACATGTCGTCATTGGGAAGCTCCTGAAGGAGGTCATCGGAGTCCGGACGCAGACTGCGAGTCCCACCGTGGAAATGGGGTGTTACCATGGGGAAAAAATGCTATTTCATAGGGAAAATGATGAGAAACCATTGGTTAAACCATATCATATTAGTATCATATTATGATGAATGATGAATTATGATAATATAATTATAATTTATATCATTCACCAGCCGAACAATAACACAATTTTGGGATATTTAGCCGAGTGACAAGTATTCAAATGACGTCGAAGCGACGTCCTTTTGAGTTTACCCAGATATGTACACATTATATATCATTGTGTGGATACTATCCATAATACATCATAATACAGTATGTCATGCGTACATAGACATACGGCTACGCATATCATATTGGTGTGTCCAAATATACATGCAATATATCATGTGTGATCATGCATGCATTTATGCGATACGGGGATACATAGTTGGGTGTGAGTCAAAGCAACATGGAACAGTGTTCAGGCATCCGTTGCTCAAGAAAAAATGAGCCATGCCGCAGCAGAGTCAAACAAATCAACCACCTGCACTGGCAACTTCCCTTGTGATCTTCACTCAACCATGCGATGTCCCATGCACAAAGCCTTTGAAGATAGTTGAATTCACTCTTCAACTGTGACCATGTCGTTCAATGTATCTATCCATCCGCATATAGCAAACGATGAATATATAGATTGAAAACTTGGATACTTGCAGATTATGAGGAAAACACGCATGTAATACATTATGTGCATCATCTACAACATCATGAGAAACATATAGAACTCCTTTTTTGGAGAACTCCGAACGTGTGTATGTATAACATGTAATATATACAGCATATATATATATATTATCATATATAGAATCATATAGGTATACATAAGCCCAAACAAACAAACAAACAAACAAACAAACAAACAAACAAAACAAAACAAAACAAACAAATTGGTTGATAAATGTGCTTTCTCCGTCATCTTACTCTATCTTACTCTCTTTCCTAGGCTCCACACGCCACCCTTGACTGCTGACAGTTTCAGCCCATCCTCTCGATCGAGGTGTAACCCGGGATATGTGCCTCAACCGTGATCTGGGTATATGACCTGTGGTTAAAAAAAAATGGTTTCGCAAAATGGCCGGAACCAAAACCGTTGGTTTTCCATCAATACCAATCAATTGGATTATAATTTAGGGATTCCCCGTTTGAGGAAAGACCCACGCAGCATGTGGTTCAAGAACCTGTAAGCTTGCAGTTCACATCCCCAAAACGAAAAACACAGACTGCATATTCTGACATTCGTCTGATGAATTTCGGGCCTATTTGATTCTGACTTATGTCGTGATTTACCTAATGAGGATTTCCCAATGCCTAGGTACACCAAAGAGAGTACATGAGTGAGTTTTACTGCAATTTTCCTGGTCAAACAAGCCATCCACTTAGTTAGTTTACAGTCCACTCTCAGCTTCCTCGATTCAACTGATGTTGGTCCTGTTGAGGACAGCTAAATGAGCGCCGGTTTGGAACTGCTCAACTGCTCAAGAATTGCAAAAGGACTCAACTTCTTAAGTTCATCCCATTAAAACCCAGTATACCCTCTGGTAAACTAACATAGCCATGGAAAATCACCATTTTTAATAGGTAAACCATCTATAAATGGGCCATTTTCCATTGCTATGTTAAATTACCAGAGGGTAAAATATAGTAATAATTAGTTGGGGGTGACCTGAAATGGGACGACGGTCCATTCAGAACCACGTCCGCTTTGTTTACACGGGATGATCATGGGATGACCGGGGAGCTTTTTCCATGGCGTTTGTTTATCTATACCAACCAGCAAAACAGATCCCCAAGAGGCCCCCGAGGCCCCGGACCCCGCAGGAACTTCTGCAAGTCTTCGAAGACAATGGTTCCTGTGGCCGCAACGCAGCGACGCAGGTGTTTCTGTTGATTTGGGCTTGGGTCAAACTATGGCTGAGTGGCTGCACCCAAAAAATCCACCAATATGCGCTCAATCAAAATTGTTAACATCCGATGCATATTCAGTACAATGTGGTGCCTCATAGTTAAGTTGGTAAACATCACTAATTAGCTAGGTTATTGTGTAATTATATATATATATATTAATAATGATTATTTCTTTCTGGTATCATACAATAAAATACGATATAACATGATATAACTATCGAGCTAGTTAGCTGGGCTAGTTAACTGGAGTCATAAACATCATCCATCAAAACAGACTGGAGAGCACCGTACGTTGCCATGTTCGAGCTCCTGTGCCCTTGGGATCAATGAAGAGAAAGACCTGGCGGGGGAAATTCATGGAGCGGGATTTATGTCGAAGAAAGTCGAGAAGAACAAAAACACTTTTACATCCATGGGGATATCATCATATGTTCTAGATATGATATCATCATACATGGGGATATCATGGGATATCATCATTTTTATCTCATCAGCACGAGCACGGCTCTCATGTTGCGCTTGCGCCGGTTGCGCCTTGTACCAGTTGCCCTCCACATGGTGCCGCCTGGCAGTCTGAACAAACGGTTAGAACCCCGAATCCGTGAATCAGTAAATCATCATGTCAACCATTAATATGTTGGCAAATTGTTCACTTCTTTTTCTGGCAAATTTTACCTTCTGCACATCATTCTTCAATGTTGCCGGTAAATTTCACAATTTCATAAACATGAATCCCATGAAATTGTCATAGTTTCTACAATTACAACCCCGGTTTCTGTGTCCAAAAAACACATTATCATTGTAGTTCCAGAAGTTCCCAAGTTTAAAAATCAAATTCTCATGTTCAGTTGTTGTTGTTGCGCGACTAAACAGCCTGGTTTCAGAGATGTTCACATATTAAAATATATTAAATACATCTGTTATCATCTGTTCATCCATCGTTCATATCAAATAGACATGCCACCTCCACCTCCAGCCCTTCGCCTGGAGATGGCGGCACTGACGACCTTCACCACCCGGGCCAGCTCAGCATCGCTGCTGCGGGGCCACATGGCTAGCTCGTTCCTGGATCTTCCAGGGATTTTTTTTGGGGATTGAGAATATGGAGAAGTCGATTTTGGGATGATTTGGAGTTTCCAGTGGTTTTTTGGTGTGTGGAAAAAAAGAATCAATGAATTTGGATTTTAGGATTTGAAAGTGGGTCTTCTAAGTTTGGATGGATTTGGGTCTTCCAGGAGTCTATTTGAAAACAACACCTAACGAACACCTTTGGATTTTCAGAAGATTTGGATATGTTTCTGTTTCTTTGTTTCTTTCTGTTTGTTCGTTTGTTGTTTATTTCTTTATTTGTCTGTTTGCAAGACTAAGAGTCAGTGGCTTCTTTCTTGGGGAAAACTCAATCGATGGATCCATGTTCGAGGGGTTCCCGCCCGTTCCCGTACATGAATTTCCTGAAAGCTTAACTGGCATTTATTAATGGGGAGTGTCAAAAGACAATGCTTCGTTCATGAGGATATAAATTGGGGTTCCCATAATGGATTCTGATACTCCCCAATGAACAAAAAAGGTGCTATATACCGATAGGAACACTTATAATTCATATAATCAACTTGTTTCTTTTCGAAGGTGCGCAAGTGAACATAACCATCATACCCCAAAGGTTAATGATCGTTAATGTCTTTTTCAGTCGTAGGCCTGGAAGTGAGTTGTTGCTCACGGACAACACCATTTTCATTGGGATAATGAGAAAATAAATGAAAATAATCGACTGGACTTGTGGGCATCATATCTTCAGACAAACCATTCACCATTCATCATATTCCAGCCAAGTACGATCTGAATATGTGGGATAGGTCTGAAACCAACAACCCATATTTGTTGGGGGTTTCTCAGCACGTGGTCAGCTGGGTCAGCTGAACAGCGACCATCACGCAATATGCATGTGTGTGTCTAATGTCTATACAACTGCATGGCATAATATATAAGTAGAAACATACATATATATATTATAATATATATATATAATATAATATATATAAAACATAATATATATATATAATATATATATAATATATATAAAACATAATATATATATAATATTAATATAGAATTATATATAGATAATTAAACGTAATATGCACTCCCTCACCACAAGTCTTCGGTGAGCCAGCCCCACAACAAGCCGCAAGCTGCACCTGTACATCATCAACACAAATTCATCCAATGACACCTACAGGGCATTGCAGAGACAACCTGGGGGATCATTCAAATTCAGATGTTACAGGTGTCTAGTCAAAACGAATAGTTTCCTGAAACAACTCCTTAATCTCTGGAGGGCTTTGTTTAAAAATCATCCCTGGATTATTATATACTGTAATATTACAATATTATCACTATATTATCACTATATAGTCGGTCCTTCATCCAAAATGCGGGTTCAAATGGCGAATGTCGGCTCAAGGTACATCAAACCGTATAACCATTCGACATGGCTGGCGCTACGGATCGGATGGTTTGTACCCAATCCACCAACGAAACAAAGACATCTTGGACTCTCCCGCTGTCAGCGGTGAAAATTTGTTGCTGATAGACTTTTGATATGCGATTCTAAATTCTCCCATCATCTGTCGGGTCTGGGCAGATCGGATCCATCTACTGCTATAACTTTACAGTAATCTTTGACAATGATTGCCATCAATGACATTCCCAAATCTATGTCATTTACTCATTGCAACCAAATCTTATGACTGTCATGACCATAGATCAAGTATCCATGAAATCTGGTTAAATTGTAGTAGTTCATCAACGTAAGTTGTTTGGCCATTTTGGGATAACTCCCCTATGACCTCAAGCTTAAAAACTTCAAAGCTTGAAGCAAAGGAATTGACCGTAAATAATACCGCGAGTCAAACTATAAGTATTTATAATAATATGCCATATCGTCATACTATCAAACCTTCTTCTATAGTTTATAGTCATTGGATCTACTGCCATGTCAGTGTGATTTGCTGCACTTTCCCAAGTATTGCTATCATTCAGAAACGTATTTTCATTTTTTACGACATCAATCAGTGTATCTAAGCCTCACACAAACAGAACAATCCAACCATACATCACTACATCAATCATAAAATGTATGTAAACTTAACATGTTAAGTATGTATGATTGACCATCGAGTCAATGTGTGGACATGAACCTATGGATTCACCATGATTGTTTTTATGATACCCCAATGGCGAATATATCGGCTAGATACCCGTGGTGAAAAGGAAACGCTTTGCTGGGTACTGTATCTGATATTTTCTAGTATGTGTACCAATTGATCGCATTTTGTAAGCCCAAAATAACCCATGAACCTACCCTTGGTGGAAACCATGTTTTTTGCAATATTTTCCGGGGGTCCACTGTAAATTTCTCAAGCATTTCTTGGATGTACACCTTCATTCATAGCACTAATTTACCATTCTGTCATCAGCATCAGCATTTCCAATGATTATCAAATGACAATGACTGGTATAATTACCAAGTAATTCAATGAGATTTCCATCAGTATTACCAATTCAATCAATATGTCCAACGACTTTCCATGGGTGTTCCACATATAATAGGTGATTTTCCATGATTTTCCAGTAGTTGATAAGCAAATATAGATGGCCATTATATATATATAACAATCTAACCTGACAGCGGTTTCCAAGCACCACCCCGAAAGCACCCCGAAACCGCAAAGCGTCGCCTCGCCGCTGCCATCCAGATCTAGACGTCGCCAAAGCATCAGCAGTTCATAGCGCGAGACACGTGCCTGGCCTGGGCGCCAAATTTCGAGCGGAGCTTTCCATCAAGGGTTACCCCAAGCCCCAAGTTATGGATGGTATATAGATGGTTTATGATATGGAAAATCCAGGATTTAGGGTTTTCCCCGGCTTGGACCTCCACAGGTTGTATGGGAAGACCACCACAACCTTTGGTTTAAACAAAGAATCATTGAGATTTCAGCAAAACAGACTGGGAATTAGATCTATGATCTAGAAATGAAACAAGGGATTTGACATTGACAAGTCAAATATGGATAAATATGGATTGAACTCACAAGAATGCTGATTTGAGCAACAAATGAGGATTGAACAACACAAATTTGTGATTGAGATAAATTTAGCCAAAATGTGAGGATTGAACCCACCCAAAGCATCCAAAAGCCGAGATAGCCGGAGCAATTCGTAGCAACAGTTTCTTGTGTCTCCCAACTTTCTGACACCACTTCCAACATTATGTCATCATCCAAGTGGAAAGCAGTGCCAAATATGCTCTCAGAGTATTGAAGTCTGAAAGCTGAGATGTCGATATTGGGAATAGTGGGGACGTAGGCAATTTTAAGAATGGCATGTTCAGAGGCGCTTTTTCTGGAAATTTTTAGCTATTTGACCCAGAACCAGAAGAGTTGCTGAGATGCCCGGACTTAAACATCTTCGAAAGGCATCTTCCATTTCTTCAAGAGTTGCACGTCCACTATCATCCGCGTCCTCCAGGGGCTGATGTAAAAACAGACGGGCTGATTTGGTGTGCTTGCCTCTCATTGGGTAATTTGATTCCAAAACTCTTGGCGAACTTGGGTTTGAGAACACCCTCATTGTTGGGTCTAATCATTAGACTAATGTGGTTAAAACAATAATAAACAATCCACAAATTACTATAAATGGGTGATATAGACCATCAACAATGGGGTGGTTTATCATTGTTTTAACCACAGTATTTTTTTTTGTAAACACTCAAACCGACCATCACCAGTTGCCGTTGGATTCTTCCAACATCTTCCAACGCTCCCCAGCGCACCATCTCAGAGAAAAATCGATGCCAGCCCTCGATGGTGGTGGAGCAGTGCACATTCCGCTTCTGGAAATAGCCCATCAAGGCCTGCACTGGTGAGAGGGGTGAGTGGTAACCATGCCCAAAAATACCATTCACTGTAGGCATGCACGTACGTATGTGTATATACAATTTTATCTATATATAATTGATATAATATAATATAATATATAATATAATATAATATAATAAAATATAATATAATATAATATATATATATGTACATATATATATATACCGACAGTACCTGAACTGGCCATGTTGGGGTGGATCAATTCATTAATCTGCATTTCTGTCCATTTCGAATTGGCAAGTTGCCTCTGCCAAGCGTTCCGCCACGGTCCGAAGGGCAGGATCCTGCACAACAGGCTCCGGTTTGAGCAGCTGGTGTGGAGGAAACAATGACAAAGAATGATGATGTTTTTCCCAATGGTTTTCCATGATTTTCTATGACTTTCCATGTTTTTCCCATGGATTTCCATGATTTTCTATAATTTTCCATGTTCCCATGGTTTCCCATTGAAACACTCTGAACACATTGATAGTAGATGTATCAACCTCCGAAGAGTCAGGAAGTAGTCCCCAAATGATGGCTGGTGGATGGATGTTGGTTGTTTAGATATGTTTAGATGGAATCTCCACTTGGAAAAGCCATTGCCGTCCTGGTCCAAAGTGAAAACGCCTTGAGGTTTTCTCGCTAAGGCCTCGATGTGGCGGCGATGGATTGTGGAGGCGTTCAACACTCTCCAGGTCATGAAAGCTTGATATGTCCGTAAAATTCTTCCTGCTTGTGTGGCCTACCTTGGATGCAGCCATTTTTTGGGAGTACACGTTGGCAACTACAGGATTTGATCAACATTTCGAAGCTTAAAACCAATCCGACAATAACCTGGTTGGTGGTTTCAACCCCTCTGAAAAATATTAGTCAGTTGGAATGATTATTCCCAATATATGGAAACATGAAATTCATATTCCAACCCACCAACCAGTAGCCAATAATAGTATGATTGGTTTCTTTTTGGTACGATCGTCAAAACAAATTTAGTCGGGATAAGGTCGGCAAGGGGCCTTGCTGCAAGACGAGAATGTCTGGATGTGTTTTTCCTGGCTTTCATGAAACAATATCATATGTACGATCCCCCCGATATCAAGCTTTTACTAACTTAATTTATGGTGAGATCGTTTGGTGTAGCTATAAATCATCCATATCTATTATCTATCCCGATTTGGCAGTAGTTTCTCCTGTTCTCACTGGCAAATCATCGAATTAAATGTGTTTCAAGTTTCGCAAGCTGGTATTCTTTGTCATACCTCAATGTTCCATTATTCATAACTTATCTAGATTCTAGAAGCCTGTGGGCAGAGGTTTCTAGTATGTACCAGGGGGTCTGTGGCAAGCTTAGTTGGTGCAAATGGCGACGGCATGACGACGACATGACGACGACATGCCCATGGCATGGTGACAGCATCGCGACGGCATTGCGATGACATGGCGACGACACGGCGACCACATGGCGACGGCTTGGCGACGGCATTGCGACGACATGGCGACGACACGGCGACCACATGGCGACGACATGGCGACGACATGGCGACGACATGGCGACGACATGGCGACGACATGGCGACGACATGGCGACGTGGCCAGGACGACAACGACGACGGTGAGAACGACGATGACGGCGATGACGAGGACGACGGCGACGATCATGCACGAGACAGAGTTATATAGGGTATGGTGTAGACATAGATATACATATGGCTATGGTTTGATGATGCCGAAGCGCGTTTGTCACAACCAAATCAGTTTTTCGTATGTTCTTTCCCAGATGGGCGCCATGCTTTCTGAATCGGGCAAGGCTAAATGGGTGTGTTTCGTGTGCTGGCAGCATTCAACTTGAATTGTGTTCGATCAATGGGTTTGAGACAACAGCAGTTTTTTTTTGACAGCCCATGAGCTCTCATGTTGCTAAAGTCACAACTTGGACAAATTTAGTGAATCTCAATTCGGGGTTCTTTGATGTTTCTGTGCATAAGTATATTCCCAGGCAGGAGGGATGAATTCGCCGGACAATGCAGGGAACAAATGGTTTATTCTCTTTTTGATCCCCCGCCCTGTCCGGAGATGAACTCCTTTTGTCTGGAGCTAGGGGTGCGGAAAACGTGTTTCCCTTTTATGTGGTTTCTGAAACTCCTTCCTATATGTCTCGCCTCTGTAGGAAGCCGCTCCGTGGGGTTCTTCCCCAGTCCCACTGTACGTCTGGATTTTCGGTTCCAATTGGTATCTAGAAGGGGAGAATCTAGGCTACACTTATATTCAACTCTTTGGAACTTGTTTCGATTCAAGTGTTTAGGAAGAAAAGTTGATTGGCTTTCCTTCCTTCAATATGATCGCCGATTGTATCAAATTTTTCGAATACGCTGAATATTGATTTGGTAATTCCTGCACATTGCGTCCATATGGAATTTCACCGTGTCTGTGTGTGTGTATTGGGGTTAGAGAGAACGCGTGGGACATGCGCAAGCATTGGATATGACGCATTATCAGTATGTGAGTCCATGAATTTTATTCCGCACAGAGTGAGTGAGCTAGATTCCTTTTCTGAATGTGGTACAACATTACATAACCCACGCGCTGTTGACAAAGTAGGTGCCATGTGCTAAAAAGCATTCCTCGTAGTTTTGGGTGAACATTGTGACTACATTTTTTATTGTTTTTAAACAAGACTTCCTAGAAACCCTTCCAGATTCAACCTGCGACCATGCATCTAGTGCGCCAAGTTGTAGTACTTGACATTGAGATCATTGATTTCTTAGCCGGCGCAAAATTCAAACAAATTGAACACAAGGAGAACGCAAAAACGATGGGGTCCTTGCAAGTTATGGCATTCAAGTTCATCAACCTTTGGTGTGAAAGGCCTGACTGTGTATTCGAGCATGTCTGGCTTAACAGTTCTTGACGTAGCACTCTGCCCAAGCTTCACCTATGAAATATCACCTTGTCATGGGTCAGCATGCGGTGCCTATACAAAAAATACGTTTATTACCGGAGTAGATTTTCATAATTAGAGCTGGGCTTGGGGAAGAATATCTGAGTAGAACAGCGCAATACTCATTTTGAAGCAAAATCCCAACCATATTCAATAGCGCGCCCGTTTGGTGACCTTAGTCTTGGTACTTTCTCTTAGGAAAAATAACATGTACAGAAACCTAATTAAACCTACCACTTTGTTGATTGGTGTTCCCAACCGGTCACCCGTTTTGCACATTTTGCTGACAAGAAACTTGCTTTATAAGGGCACATGAAGATGGTGACTGAGCTTCTTTGCCAGTGATTCACAGGCTGGCAATGATTCCTTGCAGTTGGCCCGAAAAGGTTAACAGCCCGGAACTATAATAGAAACCTATCTTGCGTGTCTTCCTTTCTCATTGCAGACATCCTGTTTAAAATAATTAGCTGTTGTTTACCATACAGGGTGCCAAAATGTGCCAAACATCGATTCATGTAGACGATTCACATCAGCGGTGTTCAAGGCCCATCTGGTTGCAGTATGCTGGTTGGCTGATAGGGGCGCCCTGATAGTCCCCAATACACTGGCTGGTAAAGCCGCCCGCAATCTTCAAACAACAGAGGGTTTTGAACATCGCTGATTTGAAATTGATTGCAGCATCTAGATTGATGCGCACGTTTCAAACATGGCTAGGATGCACGCTGGACTCATGGTATTTCACAACGTGCGTGTTTGCAAAGGGGAGGTGAAGATAAAGGAGATACAGGACCTGTGATTGACACGTGCAAAAACTGGAATTGATATACATGTGGATCATGTTGTCAAGTCCATGCATTTTATGTAAAAAATGGTGATCGAAAAAAACAAATATCATGTAGGATTAGAGCGGGACAGACAGATTCAGGTTGCTGTAGCTGCTCGTTGTCAATACGCAAGCCTACGTACTATGTCTTCACAAATTCGATGAAGACAAGGTGTCAATGGGCAAGAATCTGTTCCAAACTAAATGCGTTTAGAAGGGATCCAACGTGTCACAATCATCATTCAGCTGGCGCATAGATCCAGCAGACCCAAAGGCAGTTTAACAGTAAGCACAAAGAAGTTTTTGTACACCTTTGAATTCAATTTCACCAACCTTTGGCGTTGAAGGCTGCTCCGTGTACTCAAGCATGTCTGACTTGAGAGTATCTGACTTGCAGGCACTGTACGTTGGCATGCTTTAGTAAAAAGAAACGTCGCCTGCATTTCAATGATGCAACACCATATGCAAAGTGTGCAAAAACCAGTGGTAAAGTGCAAAGCATGCAAGCCAAAAGCTGAACACAAAATAATCATCGAAGATACCCAAAACAATCAAACAGTCATAGCATCACAGCAAGAAACATTGCAAAACACACGCGAACAGATAGAGTCACACTGTCTAATGTTTGGGCCACGCCAGGACTAGAAGAGGCAACGCTGAACAATATGCAAGTGTCATCTGAAAATACGCAGGCGCCCCAAAGTTTGGGAATGGACATGACGGTGAATTTGCTGGGCTTTCTGGTTCGGGGTAAGAAGGACCGGCTTTCCAAATTTGCAATGTAAATATTTTTCTGCGGGGTAAAGTTTTCAAGACCGCAACTCTTCTGCTTTGTCTATGTGAGGGCACGCAATCATCGTCTTCCTAACTAAGTTGTCGCGACTTTGTCAACACAGCGTCACCGCATTGTCGCCACATTGCCACCACATCGCCATCACATCGCCGCCACATTGCCACCACATCACCATTACATCGCCGACACATCGCCGCCACATCGCCGCCACATCGCCGCCGCATCGCCGCCACATCGCCGCCACATCGCCGCCACTCGCCCGCCGCATTGCCGGGCCCCACTTGCCGCACACCGCCGCCACATCGGCCTGCGCAGCGATCGCCCGCCGCGTTGCCGCAGCATTGCCGCCACATGCCGCCCCACAATCGGCCTGCCACCCTCTTTCACCGCATTGTCGTCCACATGGCCACCACATCGCCCATCACAGTGCCGCCAC